CACGCCCGGCCCGGGCCGGGCACGGACGCGGGCCCCGGGCCCCCGAGGGCTGAGCGCCCTCCCGCGGCGCCAGCCGGCGGGCCTCGGCGCGACCCTCCAGCCCAGGCCCTCGGGCCTCGTCCCCCGCTCCCGGTCGCCGCACTCACCGCGCGGGTGCGGCCCGAACGCCACCAGCACGAAGTAGTCCGCGAGCCGCGCCATGGCGAAGGGCGCGGGGCAGCCCGAGGGGCGCGGACCAGCTCCGCCGCTCCGGGACTTGAGAGCGGCGCGCTCATGGCCCGGCGCCGGCCCTGGGCCGCGCACCCCGAACACCCCGGGCCCGCTCCTCCGCGGCGCTAGCCAGCGCTTCCGCCGCCATCTTCCCAGCCAGCCGGCCCGCCCGGCCCCGCCGCGCGCCTGCGCGCCCGCTCGCCCCGCCCGCCTCCGTGGGCGTGGCCGGGACGGCGCCCCGCCATTGGTCCACGGGGAGTGGGCGGGTCTCGCGGGCGAGTCCCCGCCCACCGCCTCCCGCGCCCCGCCCCGGGGCCGGCCCTTGGGAGGGTGGTGCGGACGGTGGCTCGGGCGGGTCAGGGGACGCCGGCGGGACCCCGGGCCGAGCTCGCTGTCAGGACTCGCACACGCGGCGAGCACGCGGAGAGCGAAGCCTGGGCTCCCATCCCTGGCAGGTGTCAAATGGAGCCAGCAGAAGACCTCGGACTCCCGAACGGGACGGGAGCGGAGGCAGCGGAGCCGTGGCCCAGCCTGCCAGCCTGGCAGCGGGGCAGGAAGCGTCCCAGGCGGAAGCGGGCCGGGCCCCCGCGGGAGCCCCGCTAGGCGTGGTGGACGGCCGCACCGGTCATTCACGTCTGGCCGCGGACGGCAAGTGGGGTGCCCTTCGGGAAGGCCGAGACACCCCCGGAGCCAGGGGCCGGCGAGGGGTCCCCTCGGGGTTGGACACGTGAGCTGGGGGCAGGAGGCTTCCGGAGAGGCCAGCGCACGGGCTGGGCTCCTAACTGCTGCAGGAACTGAGGAGTTGCTGCCATCCGGTACCTCCATCTCCACCTGCAGGAGGTGGGTGTGAACGAAACCAATCTCAGGCCAGAGCGAGGGAGAAGAGAGCTGTGGTGCCACAGCTGTATCCCCAGCACTTGAGAGGCTGCCACCGGAGATCGTGACCTCTAGGCCAGCCTGGACAACATAGCAGGACTGTGTTAATTTGATTTTTTTTAATGTGATAAGCGGGGCCTACCTGTAATCTCAGCTACTTAAGAGGCTGAGATCTAAGGATCTCAATTCAAAGCCAGCCCAGCTGAGAAAGCCTGTGAGACTCTTTTCTCCAATTAACCACCAAAACCATAAGTGGAGCTGTGGCTTAAATGGTAGAGCACAACCCTTACGCAAAAAAAGCTAAGGGACACCCCCTGAGTTCAAGCTTCTGGACCAGCGCCCCTCTCCTCCCCCCCGAAAAGAAAAAGAAAGAAAAGCTCCAGGACCCTTCCCTGTACTCCCCACAGCCCTCTTCTGCTACTGAGAAGTTACATGGGTTGAATAATCCTTTATGCTGGATGGAGCTAGTTTGAGTTGTCATAGATCAGTCACTGCAGATCTTCTCCACACTACTGAAAATGTAGGGGGCCAGCAAGAAAGACCTGGTGCCTGGGTCCAGGGGTGGCTCTCCTCTAGGAGAGTGTGAGGGCCCTGTGGCCCATTCCCCATGTTCTTCGACTAGGCATAGTATCTTCACCAGAAGATCACCCATCCCTGGGAGTTCTATCTGGCCCACCCTCCATGTTTGCTGCCTCTGAGTAGAGAATCCTGCCCAGTGCACTATCCAGGTCACCTCTGGGGAACCTGTTGCCAACTCAACCCTCTTCTCAAATTGAGAAGGGCCTGTGGTCTTCCCAGAGTCCCCTACCTACCCAGTAGGTTCCAGCCTCTTCCAGAAAGCCACTCTTCTGCCAGGTGTTCCTAGCTAGTCAAGATGCTGAGATCTAAGGATTGAAGTTTGAAGCCATCTCCAGCAGGAAAGTCTGAGATTCTTAACTACTAAAAAGTCTGAGATTCTTAACCACTAAAAAGCCAGAAGTGGAACTGTGGCTCAAGTGGTAGAGTGCCAAAAGCTAAGGGACAACAACCAGACCCTGAATTCAAGCCCCAGTACCAGAACAGAAAGAAGGAAAGAGAGAAGAGAGAGAGAAGGTGGGTACCAGTGGTTCATGCCTGTAATCCTAACTACTCAGGAGGCTATCTGAGGATTGTGGTTCAAAGCTAGCCTGAGCATGAAAGTCCATTAAACTCTTACCTCCAATTAACTACCAGAAAACTGGAAGTGGTGCTGTGGCTCAAAGTAGTAGAGATCAGGGACAGGGCCCAGACCCCATGTTCAAGCCCCATGCCCAGCAAAAATAAACTAAAAAGAAAGATAGGTCACTCTTCTCAGTGTACAAGCCCCTTGGCTCTCTCCATTTGTCCTTCCCCACCTCCTATGGTTGGTCATCTTACCAGTGTCTAAAGATTCTTATCTCAGCCAGGTGCCAGTGGCTCTCGCCTGTAATCCTAGCTACTCAGGAGGCTGAGATCCGAGGATCGAGGTTCAAATTCAGCCCGGGCAGGAAAGTCCGTGAGACTCTTATCTCCAATAAACCACTTGAAAACCTGAAGTGGCTCATGCGGTAGAGCACTTGCCTTGAGCTGAAGAGTACAGGGACAGCACCCAAGCCCAGAGTTCAAACCCCACGACTGACCAAAAAAGAAAAAAAGAGGGGCTGGGAAGGTGGCTCAGTGGTAGAGCGCTTGCCTTGCATGCATGAGGCCCTGGGTTCGATTCCTCAGCACCACATAAGCAAAAAGAAAAAAAGCCAGAAGTGGTGCTGTGGCTCAAGTGGTAGAGCGCTAGCCTTGAGCTGAAGAGCTGAGGGACAGCGTCCAGGCCAGGCCCAGAGTTCAGGCCCCACAACCCACCAAAAAAAAAAAAAGCCAGAACTGAGACTGTGGCTCGTGGGAGAAAGCTAACCTTAAGCAAAAAAGCTCAGGGACAGCACCCAGGCCCCAAGTTCAACCCTCAGGACCAGCACAGTACTCAAACAGTACTTCCCTTTATGAAGCTGTCACCCTTTTGGTCCTAAACAGACGTCTCTAAAGTATTCTCCAGTATTACCAGCACCAGTCAGCCCTCCTGAGCTCATTCCTGACTCCCTGAGAAACCTCTTGTCTATTTTTCATGTGCTTCAGCAACATTGAGACAAGTAGCCCATTATTCCATCAAAAGCATTTTTTTCCCAACTAAGGGTGAATGAAAATGGTGCTTGAGTCTCCCCTAGAAAGACATGGACAGTTGAATGCAGCAAGAGACATAAGGTATGCTGCCTAAGGGTCTGTCCTCAGTGAGGGCCTTAGTACCTTTTGGATGGGTGAGGACAGAAGCCGCTAGGCTGAAGCCTGAGGGCTAGAGGTGATTCTCATCCCACCTCGGCAACCACGCCATTTTTGTTGTCATTAACCAAGGTCTTCAGCCTGCATTCAGCACTCATGGATGTATTCATCCGTACTCAAGTGTTTGCTGAGTACCCATGGGGTGTGCTCAGCAGGGGGGCCAGGGAACCAGAGGGGCCACAGGTGGGGGTGAGAATAGGTGCGTGATGAGAGGGAGACACAGGTGCAGAGCTTCTCAGGCAGAACTCTGTTGGTGAGGAGATGAGGTAAAATTCTCCTGGGGCCAAGGACAATCATGGGTAGAGGGTGGATTGGTGTAAAAATTCTAGAAATGAGACCACAACAGCAGGTTTCTTGCCTGTAGAAAGACTACAAATAAAATTTCATCTTACTAAAGGGCTGACTAGCCAGGCCCCAGTGACTTATGCCTGTCATCCTAGCTACTCAGGAAGTTGAGATCTGAGGTTTGTGGTTCAAAGCCAACCAAAGCAGAAAAGTACATGAGATTCTTATCTCCAGTTAACCAGCAAAAAAAACAAAAGTGGAGCTGTGGCTCAAGTGGTAGAGCACTAGCCTTGAGCGAAATAGTTCATCCAGCTCTGAGTTCAAGCCTCAGTACTGGCATACACACACACACACACACACACACACACACACACACACACACACACTGACTAAATAAATCACAGAATACCTACAATTGCTGTACACAGTAAGACAAAAATAAGAAAGATTAAGCTAGGTGCTGGTGACTCACACCTGTAATCCTAGCTACTAAAGAGGCTGAGATCTGAGGATCACAGTTCAAAGCCGGTCTGAGCAGGAAAGTCCATGTGATACTTTACAATTAAGCACCAGAAAACTGGCCAAAGAGGTAGAATGCTAACCTTGAACAAAAGATGTCAGACACAGCACCCAGGCTTTGAGTTCAAGCCCCACAACAGACAAAAAGAATAAGAAAGCTTAGGGTTCTTCTTTATGTTTACATATATGTTGCAAGCAGATCTGTGGGTTGCACACATTCACAGAACAACCAAAGGTATGCATTTGAGGCACGAGAGACCCACAGAGGGTGAGCCAGGACAGTGTCTTACTTTTCATTCAGATTTTCTTACAAAAACAATAGGAGGTGTGGGTAGTGAGAGCTGTAGGCGGAGTCTACCCAGGGACCTGGAAGGGTGTGGGAGGTGGCAGTGGAATCTTCCACCAGTCTCTGCTGGAGTCCCCACAGGCTGAAGTGTGCTCCTTCCTCCCTGAGGTGGATGTGGCCGTGGCTGGTTACAGCCTCCCCTCAGCACTCAGCCTAAGGCCTAAAGGTCTGGCCCCAACTGGCCTTTGGGACAGGGTCACCCACCAGAAAGGGCCAGGGGTGAGGCTGGTACAGCCCCAAGATTCCTGGCAAGCCCCTCCCACCGGGGACAGGAAACACTAGGTGACCCCAAGTAGTGCCTCAGGGCTTCCCAGGGGTGCGCAGGGGTGGGAGGAGGGGAAAGGGGAGGAGGAAGGAGAGCGGGATCGCTCCTCCCAAGGGCCGTCCAGCTCCACCTCCTGCTGGAAAGTCTACTTAGCGCTAGAGGTGCAAGCAGGCGGCAGGGTCTGTCCTAGGCAGATCCCAACGACGACCGAGAGCTGACCACGCCAGCCCCCTCCCTGTCCACCTGGCCAGTTCCCCACGTCCAACAGACTCAGAGACCCGCCTGCTGGCCCGAGACCGGCGCCCCGACGACAACGACGCTGGTATCCACCCTGCCTCCACCCCTGGGGCCACTGGACCCCCGCGGGCCACCCCACCCCTGCGGGCCCCTGGGCCAGATCTGGGCACAGGCTGCCCCGTGCCAGCGTCCCCACCTGCCCTTTTGCAGCTCCGCCCGCCATGGCCTGGCTCCTGACGCTCAGTGTCACCCTGGGTTGCATCAGCCTCCTCTACCTGCGACTGCCCTGCGTGCTGTCGGGACTGGCACGGCCCAGGTGAGTGCCCGGGACCGTCCCAGGGGACCATCTGGCCGGGAGGGATGTGTGGCTTCACCCCCCTTCCTTGGTGTCACTGGCTTATCCCACACACAGAGGCCAATGCGCCCCCCCGCACCTTCAAGATGGTCCAGACAGAGTAGGGTTTCTCTTCCTTGCCTTCTCCTGCTAGTCCCCGCGTCCCCCCCCCCCCCACACACACACACTGGCAGAGCAACCCTGCAGCACAGGACCTGCCGGGCAGAAGAAGCTGAGGCACCCTCTGGCCGGCTGGCCTCCAAGAGCAGGGCCACAGGATCCTTCTGAGTTCTGGCCCAGTGCGTCCCAGTGCTCTTTGTCCCAGGAGGTGTCATTAATGGGACATGTGATCTGGGCTACTAAGATGGCCAAGCTTCCAGGACTGAGCTCCTAAGGGTGGTGGGCTTCCCCTGGCATTGTACCAGATTGTGTGCGTGTGTATGTGTGTGTGGGGGGGTGCTGTGGACTTCCAATGGACCTGCGCCAGGCTTTGGGGAAGTTGTGGGCTTCCCCACGGTGACCTCAGGCCAGGGTGGAGGGAAGGTGGGTGGGTTTGAGGCCTGACTGGCTGGCTCACTGGGTTTGCACGCCCTTCCCCTCCACAGGCAGACCCTAGCCCGGACTCCTTCCAGTGGCTCGCCACCCTGGCAACCTGCACCCCAGCCTATGTTCTGGAAGCTTCACCAGGCTCCCCAGCCACAGAAGAAGGCTCCCCAGCCACAGAAGAGGGCCAGCCTGGCCCCCATGGTGGGTCAGCCTCTCCAGCATGGTGGCCCACGCCACTCACGTCTCCAGAGACACTTGGGACCCCGAAGGCCCCATGCCCAGCTCCTAAGAGTCGGCTGTGTGCTGGGCACATGCCAGGTACAGAACCTCAGCCATCGTCTGTGGCAGCTCGTAGGGCCGGCCGGCCGGCGGAACTCAGCACCCGTGGACCCCAGCAGCCCACACAGCTATGGCTGAAGTGCATTCCGGCTGTGCTTCTTCCCATCCTGTCCCAGCTGGTCGCCATACCCTCATCCCAGAGCTGCGGCTGAGGCCCCTACCCAGGCCCCATCCTCCAGTGCTCCTACAGCCAGCAGGTCCCACGGCAACTCTATCCACGCCTTGCTGGAGACATAAACCCACTCTGTGCAGACATAGTCAGTTTACATGCAGCATCTGCACCTGTAGAACTGTGCACACTCAATGAGCAGTGTGGGGAATGACTGCAGTATCAGATGCCAAAAGGGTTTCGGGGGAGGGTCCGTGCGGCAGGCAGAAAGGAAACCAGGGTCCTGAACGCATAGGTCCATCAGGACAGAGCGGGGCTGAACGGCCCCGTGTGGCTTCCTCCCAACCATGGTCCCAGGGTCACTGCTCTCCTGTGTGGCTTGCCCATCTGCGGATATGCCTCATCCAGGGCCCACAGACTATATCTCTGCCTATGACCTGACATAGGAGGGGTAACAAGGAAGGTTGTTAAGGAGAGGAAAGAAACCTCCACAATTGGAATTGGCAGCCCTGGGATACAGGACAAAACAGTGATAGAAACCCTACCGAAGTCTCTTGTAAGCAATTGGTGAGAAAGCATAGGGCTTCAGGAGTGTTCTAGGGCAGAGCAGAGAGACCTCTTCCTACCTTAAGGGTAGAGCAGGGATTGGGTGAGAGCAAGATTCCCCAGCCTAACTAGGTCCACCAAGACCTATCCCCAAGCCGGCAGAGTGGTGTACGATTGAAACCTACTTGGGAGGCTAAGGTAGGGAGATGGGGAGGTTAAAGGACAGCTTGGATAACTAGCAAGTTTCAGGGCAACCTGGTTTACATAGCTATATAGTTGGACCCTGTACACACACACACACACACACACACACACACACACACACACACATACACACACACACACACACACACACGACCCCTTCCCCCTAAAAAAGAAAGAGCTGGGCTGTGGTGACTCATGTCTGTACTTAGATACTCAGAAGGCTGAGGGTTGTGATTCAGGGCCAGCCTGGACAGACAAGTCCATGAGACTCTTACCTCCAAGTAAGCCACCAAAAAGCCAGAGGTGGAAGTGTGGTCCAAGTATTACTTGGTAGGTGTATCCAAGGAAGAGCATGAGGACCTGAGTTCAAGCCCCAGTACAGCGTGAAAATAAACAAATAGGAATCTTAAAAGGAAAGGGGAGGTGGGGAGCTAGGATGAGAAGCACCAAACAGGCATTGCCCCTGAGTGGAGCCATCAAGAGAGGGGCAGCGGTACTGCCAGGCTTACCCCTGTTCCCTAGCCAAGAGCCCTGTGAGCACAGACAAGCCTCACACACAACAAAGACAGGACACATGTCTGCCCCAGGGGAGGCCTTTGCACATGCTATGTCACCCAAACTTCACACCTGTCCGGAGGTTTAGGGGTTTAGAAAGGGTTTTTTGTTGGTGGTGGTGGTGGTTGTGGAACTTGAACTCTGGGCCTGGGCGCTGTCCCTCAGCTCTTCAGCTCAAAACTAGCGCTCTACCACTTGAGCCACAGCACCCACTTCCGACTTTTTCTGTGTATGTGGTGCTGAGGAATCGAACCCAGGACCTCATGCATGTGAGGCAAGCGCTCTACCACTGAACCACCTTCCCATCCTCAAAGGGTTGTTTTCCATCAATCGCTCATGTTTGGTTTGCCGTGCTTGCCAGCTTTGCTGGTAGTGGCACTTCACCATGCCTGCTCAGCCACACAGAGGTCAGAGATACTCCAGGTGGCTTCAGCGCCCACCCACAGAGCCCCCCTCGGCATCCCAGGCCCCGAGGAAGGCTGGAGGCCTCTCTCAGGGCCCCTCACCCTGCGGGATGGGCAGCAGCAGGCGGCAGGGGGTAGGTGGAGCAGGCGGGAAAGGCGAGTGTGTGCGGATACTGGAGAGAGGCAGGAGCTCCTCCTCACAATCAGCTGTGTGGGGCCCTCCTGGCATCCTGGGCGCTGGGCAGAGCCCAGGCTCACACGTTACCTGGGCTTGTGTGTGGCCTGTCCCTCAGCACAAGCTGCTCCCTGTTCCTGGAGCGCCTTCCCCTCTCCACACCCCTCCCATCCCCAACCTCCTGTGTCTTCCCTGCTTAGACACCTAGGCCGGCTACCGCTCCCCAGAATCCTACCTGCTAGTGGCCTCAGCAAGGGCCCCAGTCTTCGGCCTTTCCACGAGATGGGAGGTGTCCTGGCATCCAGGCAGGGTCAGGAGGCTGCTGGTCATGCCCGAAGCCTTGTGTCTGGTCTGATGCCAACCCCACGCGGCGCTCGGTTATGCTCCACTGCCTTCTGAATCCCCCACCAGGAGGTCCGGTGGCAGCAGGGCCTGCTCACCCCCAGCTCGGCCCCACAGCGCTCCCCTCACACCCACTTCTACACGCTGTCTGCCCTCCTGGAAAACTGTCTACATGCTGGTGCTTGTTCCTGACCGAAGCCTGCTCCAGCTGCTTCGAGGAAAATGGTTCCAGATCTCCCTCGGAGCCCTGGAGCTCTCCAGTACACCCTGAGCATCTAGCACAGTAACACAACCCAGCGAGCCCGGCCCTGCCCTCCCACAGCGGGAGAGGCCGAGAAGCATAGCTCAAAGGTAGATCAGTAAGCAAAGAATGGAGCGGCCACAGTGCCATTTTAGGAGGGGGGAGGTCTCTGTATGTTCTCTTCATTAGATCATGGTGCCTGCCCGTTCGCCCACCATTGCCCTCTTCCCTGCTCTGTTATCTCCAAGAATGCCCGTCCCGACGTGGCTGTTTTCCTCTGTTTGGCTCCTGCATCCTCAGAGACTAGTAGACAGACGTGTGGTGAATCAAACCATGCTGCTTTCTCCAGAACTCCTTTCCCAGAAGCCCAACCCCTCCTTGATCAGACTTCAGCTGTCCTGAGACCGCTCCTGACTTTGCCCCTGTCCTTGCTGAGATTAGCAAGAATTCTGTCAGGACTTGGAATGTAGCCTCAGAAGCAGCTCTCCATCATTCAAACCAAACCAAGTCCTCAGTTAGTGTGTGAAGAACCCTCTCCCTCACCCCGATAGTCGCACCCAGCTGCTTCCAGCAAGAATTCAGCAGAGCCACCTCAGTCATCAGCAACGGCCCTCCTTACCCCTGATGCCCCAGTAATTTCCTTCCCACTGACTTCAACTCTATAAATCTGCAATTGTCTTGGTTGTATTTAATCTCGCTACCTTATTGTGGCAGTCATAAATAAAACTTTTTCGTGCCATTTTTATGTGTCAGAATAATTCTCTCCTTCCCCTTCTCTCCCCTTCTCCCCCCTCCTCTCCCATCCTCCAATCTTCTCCCTCCCTATCTCTGTCCTCCTCTCCCTCCCTCTCCTCCCCTTCTCTCTCCCTCTCCTTCTGTTTGCTGAAGGTCAAACCTAGGGATGTGCCCATAAGCAATCAAACTGCCACTGAGCTAAAACCCCGGCCATTGAATAATTTTGTATTTAATAAACGTTTGCCCACCTATAATCTATAGGTGTCGTGGAACAAGCTGTTGCTTTTCAAAATAAAGTGTAGGGACCATGTGCCTTGGGTGTGGTTCACAGCCTCCACACAGCTGTGCAGCCTCGAGGTGTTCCATGCGTGGGGGCATAGAAGCTGGGCTGCCGAGCAGCGCCTGGGGGCTGGAGCAGGTCAGTTATTTCAGAGCAGGGGAGCTGTCCGTGCAGGGGCTGCTCCTACATCCGACACATTAACCTGCTGCGGCCAGGAGAAGGGCGGATGGTCACTCATTACCCAGGGCCAAGGCCAAGGGGCTAGGTAGGTGTCCGGTCACTTATGTAACCTGTGGGCATATATAGGGCACCTGACCCAGGGATCTCGCTGACCTGGAAGCTGCTCCGCCAGGGCACCGCTCCTCAGGATGAAGGTGGTTATGGTAAGTACCCCAGAGCCTAGTGAGGGCAGGTCCCCCACGGAGCCCTCACCGCTCAAGCCAAGAGGCAGCAGCACTGCCCTCTTCCCGGCTATGGCCCCCCCTGTTGTGCTCAGAGGTGGAGGGTGGGCAGGCCCTCACCCCAGGCTCTCTGTGGTGTCAGGCCTCCTCTTAGAAGTAACTTCCACCCGTGAGGGTGCCCAGTTGGGGTGCCGGTGGCTCTGATTCACCACGGAAGCAGGCATCTAGCCCATACGGGGGTTTAGGGCCCGGGAGGGGAGCCGGGTGGGGGCTGACCTGTGCATGGACTCGGGCTGCTGCCTCCGCTGTCCACTGCTGGCCTGGTTCTGGCCCAGGGAGGCCAACTCTTCCTCACAGGCCAGGCATGATGGTGAATGGGTCAAATCCCCCATCTGACCAGGGTCCAGATCCCTCCCTGATTTACCGTCCCGATACGGACCCAGAGATGACCAAAGACAAGGACAGTTTTCGGAACTACGTGGTGAGCATCACTTTGTCCTGGGGCCCAGCCCACCGGCTCTGGGAAGAGCAGCTCCTGGGGGCCGTGTGGGAAGCCCCTGCTGACACCTTGCAGAGCCTGCTCTGGGGAAGGGGAGGCTGTGGCTCCTGATGACGTGTTCCTGCCTTGCAGTCAGGCCCCCTCCTGGACCGTGTCTTTACCACCTATAAGCTCATGCACATGCACCAGACCGTGGACTTCGTAAACAGGAAGGTAGGCGTTTCCTGCTCCCCCTGCAAACTCGGAGGGTGAGGACCTCCTCTCCCTGGGCCACTGCACCCCGGTAGATAGGAGGCTCTCTGCAGGCGGTCCTGCCCTGCATGCCCCAGGGGGGCTGACTTCTCTCCTTCCACCCAGCGCGCCCAGTTTGGAAGCTTTTCCTACAAAAAAATGACAGTCATGGAGGCTGTGGACTTGCTGGATGAGCTGGTGGACGCGTCAGACCCAGACGTGGACTTCCCCAACTCCTTCCATGCCTTCCAGACAGCAGAGGGCATCCGGAAAGCCCATCCAGACAAGGGTGTGTCCCCTGGCTGTGGTGGGGAGGTGCTGCCCCTACCCCCAGGTGGGGGTGGTCCTCAGCCCCCCCCCCAGAACAGGCTCAACCCCTTCCTGCCCCCGCTCAAGGCCCGCTCATGCCATCGCAGCCTCGTTACCTTTCCTGTATGTGTCCATTGTCCCTAGACTGGTTCCACCTCGTTGGGCTCCTGCATGACCTGGGAAAGGTCCTGGCTCTGTGGGGGGAGCCGCAGGTGAGGGGCAGGTGTGGGAGGCGGGTGCGTCCTCCGTTCCCCAGGGAGCAGGCTGGAGCCACACCCCACTCACCGGTGCCTGTCCCTCCCCAGTGGGCAGTAGTTGGAGACACCTTTCCCGTCGGCTGCCGTCCCCAGGCTTCCGTGGTGTTCCGTGATTGCACTTTCCAGGACAACCCTGACCTCCAAGACCCTCGATACAGGTGCCGTCCTGCCCTGCTAGGCGTCCCCCTGCCCGGGCCCCGCCCTCTCATGCTTGTCTCTTACTCACTGTAGCACAGAGCTCGGCATGTACCAGCCCCACTGTGGGCTCGAGAATGTCCTCATGTCCTGGGGCCATGACGGTACGGGGGCCGGAGGGGGGCAGGGAGCCGTGGGAGGGCGGCGGGGGCACCCTGGGTGCCGGCCAGTGACAGCCCCTCCCCTGCAGAGTACCTCTACCAAATGATGAAGTTCAACAAGTTCTCCCTGCCCTGGGAGGTAGGTGGAGGGAGGGGCTGGCCCGGGGCTGAGCCTGGCCCAGTCCCGTCTGTCAGGCAAACCTGAGCCCGCGGATGCGGCCTCTGCAGGCTTTCTACATGGTGCGATTCCACTCCTTCTACCCATGGCACACGGGCGGTAACTACCGGCAGCTGTGCAACCAGCAAGATCTGGACATGCTGCCCTGGGTGCAAGAGTTCAAGTGAGTCCTTCTGGGCGGGGGGGAGGGGGGGGGGAGGGGGGGTGTAGGGGGGGGAGGGGGCGGGGGAGCCCTCCTTCCAGAGGCTCACCAGTCCTCTCTCACTGCAGCAAGTTTGACCTCTACACCAAGAGCCCTGACCTGCCGGACGTCCACCAGCTGAGGCCATACTACCAGGGGCTGATCGACAAGTACTGCCCTGGTGTCCTGAGCTGGTGAGGGGGTCTCCCGGCCCAGCCTCCAGCCGCTGCTGGCCTGTTCCTCCAGGGCCTCGCTCCTGTTGCGTACAGCACAGCGAGCCCGGGCCTCGCCACCCCCTGCCCACACTCACCATCCTTACGGCCCCTGCACCAGATCACAGTAAAGACCTTGGAAGAGCTCGTGTGTCTATGTCTTCAAAGCTGTGGCTGCAGAGGCAGCCCTAGCACAGGGACACTGCCGCCACCAACATCCTGCTCATCTTCCAGCTCACTCCGCTCACTCTAGAAATGCTCACCAAGCCCTCTAGACCCAGTCTCCCTTAACAAAGAAGGGAAAACCCTGATAGCTAAACAACACAAAACAAACATGCAGGTGGTAGCCTGCCGCGTGGCTGTCTCTGGGAGCCACGTGCGTGCCCAGGGCCTAGGCACACAAACCCGGGCAAACCCTTCTGTCTCTCACACACCTACATGGCTTCCTCACCCACCACTGTGACACTGCCACCCATGGCATTTATCTTTAAGGCCTCTCCCCCACCCTGCAGAAAAAAGCAGATTGCTGATTTGGGGGGTTTTCTTCTGGTGACTGGGGCTTTGCTGATCATATCCCCACTATTTCTTCTTCTTCTTTTTTTTTTTTTTTTTTGTTGGTTGGTCGCAGGATTTGAACTCTGGGGCTGGGCGCTGTCCCTGTGCTCTTCAGCTGAAGGCGAGCGCTCTACCGCGTGAACCATAGCACCACTTCTCATTTTCTTGTGGTTTATTGGAGATAAGAGTCTCACAGACTTTCCTGCCCAGGCTGGCTTTGAACCTCGATCCTCAGATCTCAGCCTCCTGAGTAGCTAGGATTACAGGAGTGAGCCACCGGCGCCTGACATATTCCTACTATTTCTATGAACATTTCCTCTGTTTCCTGCCAGGGCTCAAGCAGATTCCTTGGTGTCAGAGTGTTCTCCCTTTACCAGGAAGCACATGGGGCCTGTCTTTGCTGGTGGAAACTTCCACTTATCTTTGGAACACTTTAGCTGGGACACTTTCTTCCATGTCCCTTAGCCGTGCTGTCTTCATAAGAAAGGCTGTAAATGTGCTATCGTAATGTACCAATGTGCAAAGAGGAGCTTCCTCAGCACCCTTCCCAGCTAATCTACTTGGTGTATGTGTTAAGAACTCGCCAATGACCAGACGTCTCGTATGCTTCAGCTACTTCTGTGTGCCTTTCCTGTGGCACAGATGGATACATTCCTGGTTGAGATTAGGAAGGGAGAGAGAGGCTCTGAGTTAACTCCTGGTTCCTTCTCACATGACCCTAATTGTCTCTGATAGATAGCTGTGCTGCTGTCTAGTGTGAGAAGACATGCGGGGTAGGTTGGGAGCCGGTGGCTCACGCCTGTGATCCTAGCTACTCAGGAGGCCGAGATCTGAGGATTGTGGTTTGAAGCCAGCCTAGGCAGAAAAATCCCCATGAGACTTTTTTTTTTTTTTTTTTGGTTGTTGCTGGTCATGGAGCTTGAACTCTGGGCCTGGGTGCTGTCACTGAGTTCTTCAGCTCAAGGTGAGCACTGGAGCCACAGCGCCACTTCCAGTTTGCTGGTGGTTAATTGGAGACAAAAGTCTCATGGACTTTCCTGTCGAGGTTGGCTTTGAACCGCAGGTCTCAGTCTTCTGATTAGCTAAGGTTGCAGGCATGAGCCACTGGCACCTGGCTCCCATGAGACTCTAATCTCCAATTAACCACTCAAAAACCTGAACTGGTGCTGTGGCTCAAGTGGTAGAGGGCTAGTCTTGAGCACAAAGAGGCTCAGAGACAGTGCTCAGGCCCTGAGTTCAAACCCCACAACCACTACCACTACCAACAAAAGACACTCAGGTGGCAGATGCCTATAATCCCTGAAGCAAGAGAAGCACGTATTTGAAGACAGCCTGGGTCACATAGGAAGACTGCATCCAACAACAACCACACAAAGCCTAGGGCTCACGCCTGTAATCCTAGCCACCCAGGAAGCTGAGATCTGAGGGTCAAAGTTAGGAGCACACCACATACACACACACACACACACACACACACACACACACACACACACACACACAAACACGTTAGAACTAAGCCAGCTGCTGTGGGCTCACGCCTGTAATCCTAGCTACCCAGGAAGATGAGATCTGAGGATCACAGGAGCACACCACACACCACACACACACACACACACACACACACACACACACACACACACACACACACACGTTAGAACTAGGCCAAGTGCTGTGGGCAAATGCCTGTAATCCTAGCTACCCAGGAAACTGAGATCTGAGGATCACAGTTAGGAGCACACCACAAACACATACACACACACGTTAGAACTAGGACACACACACACACACACACACACACACACACACACACACACACACGTTAGAACTAGGCCAGGTGCTGTGGGCAAATGCCTGTAATCCTAGCTACACAGGAAACTGAGATCTGAGGTTCACAGTTCAAAGCCAGCCAGGGAAAGAAAGTCTGTGATACTCTTACCTCAAATTAATCACGTGAAAACTGGAAGTGGAGCTGTGGCTCAAAGTGGTAGAGTGCTAGCCTTGAGCAAAAAAAGCTCAGGGAGAGTGTCCAGGTCCTGGGTTCAAGCCCAATGAATGACAAAAAACAAAACAAAGAAATAACAAAAATCCCTATTAGAACTAATATATTCAGCAAAGTTCATATGATACAAATTGAATCGAGTAAAAAAGTAGTAATGTTTCTATACACTGACAATGAACTATTTGAAAAGAAAGAAAATAATCCTATTGGGAGCTGGGAAGGTGGCTCAGTGCTAGAGCGCTTGCCTTGCATGCATGAGCCCCTGGGTTTGATTCCCCAGCACCACATAAGCAAAAAGAAAAAAAGCCGGAAGTGGTGCTATGGTTCAAGTGGTAGAGCACTAGCCTTGAGTGGAAGAGCTGAGGGACAGCACCCAGGCCCAGAGTTCAGGCCCCATAACCGGACCCAAAAAAAAAAAAAAATTCTATTTACAATAGTTGTAAAAATAGGAATAGCTGGGCATCAATGGCTCATGCCTATAGTCCTAGATAATAAAGAGAGAGATCTAAGGATCACAGTTCAAACTTAGCCTGGGAAAAAAAATCCATGAGAAGCCACGCACTGGTGGCTCACACCTGTAGTCCTAGCTACTCAGGGGGCTGAGATCTGAGGATTGAGGTTCTTAGCCAGCCGGGGCAGGAAAGGCCTTGAGACTATCTCCAAATAACCACTCAGAGAACCGGAAGTGGCACTGTGGCTTCAGTGGTAGAGCACTTGCCTTGTGCTGAAGAGCTCAGGGATAGTGCCCAGGTCCAGAGTTCAAGATCCACCACCAATCCCCCCCCCCAAAAAAAAAAATCCATGAGACTTTTTTTTGGGGGGTCTGGTCGTGGGGCCTGAACTCTGGGCCTGGGCTCTGTCCCTCAGCTCTTCAGCTCAAGGCTAGTGCTCTACCACTTGAGCCATAGCACCACTTCCGGCTTTTTTCTCTTTTTTTTGCTTATGTGGTGCTGAGGAATCGAACCCAGGGCCTCATGCATGCAAGGCAAGCACTCTACCACTGAGCCACCTTCCCAGCCCCTCCATGAGATTCTTATTTCCAATTAATCAGTAAGAGCTGGAAGCCTTGCATGCATGAGGCCCTGGGTTCGATTCCTTATCCTTAGCACCACATAAACAAAAAGAAAAAAGCCGGAAGTGGCGCTGTGGCTCAAGTGGTAGAGCGCTAGCCTTGAGCTGAAGAGCTCCTCAGCCCCACGATGGGACAAAAAAAAAAAAAAAAAAAATTAATCAGTAAAAAGCCCAAATGGAAAGTATGGTTCAAGTAGCAGAGTGAAGCTTGAGTGAAAGCCACGTGAGAAAGTGGGGGGAGGGGAGACAAAAAGGCAGAAAGAGAAAGAAAAAGAGAAAAAAAGAGAGACCCTGAATTCAAGCCTCAGTACTGATTAGACAGATTAGACAGATAAAAGTTGTTGGGTTTTTTTTTTGGTTGTTGTTGGTGGTGGTCATTGGCTTGAACTCTGGGCCTGCGCGCTGTCTCTCAGCTCTTCAGCTCAAGGCTAGCGCTCTGCCACTTGAGCCACAGCGCCACTTCCAGCTTTTCCTGCTTATGTGGTGCTGAGGAATCGAACCCAGGGACTCATGCATGCAAGGGAAGCGCTCTACCACTGAGCCACCTGCCCAGCCCCAGATAAAAGAATTTTAAAAGTAGAAAATTCTAAAGTTAATATGAAATTACCAAAAATTCTAAACAGCCGAACAATTTTAAGTATAAAGAACAAAATTGGAGGTGTCACAATACCCGATTTCAAAATGTACTATAGGGCTGGAGGTACACCACAGTATAGAGTGCTTGCCTAGCATTCTATGTGGGGTCTTAATTTCTTCCCCAGCATCACATATACAAAAATTACACACACACACACACACCACAACATAAATGCAGACATATAGAGACAGATTGAACCGAAGGCAAGTCTAGAAGTAAATCCATACACTTACAATAAATTGATTTTCCATAAATATGCCAAGAGTAGAGTGGAGAAAGGATAATCTCTTCAATGTATGATGTTGGGAAAATTATCCACAAGCAGAAGAATGTAAGTGGACCCTTATCTCAGCCCTTAGACATGAATAATTGTGATGGAGTAGAGACACATGTGTCAGTTCAAGACCCACGACTGACAAAAATGAAAAGGTGTTTTGGTAAATAGGAAGCTTGGGATATGTGAGATGTGGCTTCGGTAAATAGGATGTTGTGGTAAATAGGAAGGTTGGAGCATGTTTTGGTAAACATCAGTTAAACCCCTAAGAGAAAATCCAGCACATGGTCTTTGTTTCAGACTTACTGCTTTGTTTATTGGAAATTGCTATTTGTCATGTACACATGCCACTCATGTGTGGCTTTCTGTGCACCACCACCTGCACATGGCCTCTTTCCTTTATAAGTCATGCTGTGAGAGAGCCTGGCTGCGATGCTTGAGTGGGGCGCAGCCCCACGCAGCTAATAAAAACTCCTCGGCCTGTTTATCTGAGTCAGTGGATATATTTGCGGGAACTGGGATTCTACACATTTAACTGCCCAAGTCAACCAATTAACCACAGGTTTTCTTGTTACATTTTCATAGTTGCAAATTGTGTGTGTGTGTGTGTGTGTGTGTGTGTGTGTGTGTGTTCAGGCCCTGAGGTTTGAACTCAGAGTCTGGACACTGTCCCTGAGCTATTTTGCTCAAGGATAGTGCTCTGCCACTTGAGCCACAGCTCCACTTCTGGTTTAATTAGAGATAAGAATCTCATGGATTTTCCTGCTTGGGTTGGCTTTGAACCTTGAGCCTGAGATTTCAGCCTCCTGAGTAGCTAAGATTACAGGCGTGAGCCACCAGTGCCCAGCTTGCACATAATCCATTTTTACAGTATCTAAAAGACATATCAGAACAGCACAGAGAAACTCAAATGATCCATAGAGGTATGAAAGGAAAGAGGAATCTACTCTGGCCAGAGGAACTAGCAGGGGACGTGTGTCAGGGATAAAGAAGAGTGAACACTGTCAGAAATTAGACTATTTGCAACTATGAAAATGTAACAAAGGAACCTGTTGAGAAGTCTTTCTTTTCTGTGTGCCAGTCTTGGGCTTGAACCTTAGAGTCTGGGGCTATTCCTGAGCAGCTCAAGGCTAGCGGACTAGTACTTGAGCCACAGATCCAGTTTTGGTTTTTCTGTTTTTTGTTTTGGTAGTTAAGTGATAATAATCTTACGGACTTCTCTGCCTGGGCTGGCTTTGAACCTGGATCCTCAGATCTCAGCCTCCTAAGTAGCTAGTATTACAGGTGTGAACCACCAGCGTCTGACTGGGAATACTATTTCTTAGAGGGAAGGGTGCAGGAGTATTACAGAGGGGGTAAAATTGATTAGTATACAGTATAAACCTGTGGAAATGTGACAATGACATCCTACCCAGGCTGGGAAGGTGGCTCAGTGGTAGAGTGCTTGCCTCGCATGCATGAGGCCCTGGGTTTGATTCCTCAGTACCACATAAACAGAAAAAGCCAGAAGTGGCACTGTGGCTCAAGTGGTAGAGTGCTAGCCTTGAGCTGAAGAGCTGAGGGACAGCACCCAGGCCGAGTTCAGGCCAATGACCAACAAGAGAAAAAAAAAAATCTCATGGACTTTAAGGCCTGGGCTGGCTTTGAACTGAGATCCTCAGATCTCAGCCTCCTGAGTAGCTAGGATTACAGGTGTAAGCCACTGGTGCCTAGCCTTCAGAGAATCTTTTGTGTTTCCATTTTTTCTATGCTGAATAGTACTGGTATGAATATTTGGTTTTTGTTTTTGTCGGTCCTGGGGGTTGAACTCTGGGCCTGGGTGCTGTCCCTCAGCTCTTCAGCTCAAGGTTAGTGCTCTACCACTTGAGCCACAGAACCATTTCTGGCTTTTTCTGCTCAGGTGGTGCTGAGGAACTGAACCCAGGGCCTCATACATACAAGCGAGCACTCTTCCACTGAGCCACCTTCCCAGCCCCACATGAGATTTTTATCTCCAATTAACTACTAGAAAACTGGAAGTGGTGCTGTGGCTCAAAGTGGTACAGCACTAGGCTTGAGTAAAAAAGCTCAGGGACAGGGTCCAGGCCCTGAGTTCAAGTCCTGTGTCCACCACCACCAAAATTATGCTGAGTAAGAGAAACCAGACACAAAAAGTTTAGTGTGTTTTTTTTTTTCTTTTTGTAGGTGATAAGGCTGGAACCTAGGTTTCACGCATGCTAGGCTAAGCACTCTAAGCCTGAATATGATTCAGTGAACTGGAACTGTCCAGACTGGTGCTGGCATAAGGCTCAGAAGGGGAGAAGTTAATACCTGCTGAGGATTTTTAGGGTGATGCCCTATTCTGTAAATACACTGAAAGCCACTGAGTTGTGTGCTTTGTTTTTTCTAGCATTTATTAATTATACAAAAGGACTTCATTATATTTCCACACATGCTTACAATGCACCTTGGTCCAAACACATTCTTCAGTGAACTATACTTTAAATGAGTAGACTAGAAAATTACCAAGGAAGCAGATACAGATAACACAGGAGAGATTTATAAACTGGGCCTAAAAGCCTAAAAGAAACAAGTTGTTTTTTTTTAATTTTTTTTGGTTGTGAGACCAGGACTCAAACTTTGTACCTGATAGTTTACTCACGGGCTGGTGCTCTATCAACTGAGACACACATCCAGCCCCAAGAACAAGTTTTTCAATTTTAAAGATTATTGTTTGAAGCCAAAGCCAGCTTCTGGCTCACTTGCTGCCTGCGTAAGAGCCCCTTGACAGCAACTGGAACCTAGGGGAAGTGGGGGCCTCCCAGGGGTCTGCTGAGGAAGGGAACAGGCTTGACCGGAAGCAGACGTGCTGCAAGGTTCTAGGAGGGCAGTGATGACTGACAACCTGACCCCAAGACCCCAGCCGAGACCCACATGGTGGGTGTTTCACTCGGGGTTTCTTTCCTGGACAGAGCTGGATGGGCCTGACACACCTTTCTTCTACCCAGGATCCACGGTCCTCCTGACCCACTCATTTTCACCCTCCGGCCTATTCTGGGCAGGGTTTCGGCCTTGGAAGGTTCTGGCTCCATCTTTTGGCAGTGGCCTCACAGCCCTGATGAGTCCAATCTATCCCTGTGTGGCCCTGGGGCATTTTGTGGCCAGGTCCTCTTGTCCATTTTACAGAGAAAACTGAGGGACAAGGAAGAGGCCCCTTGAGAAGTGAGGTCAGTGGTGAACAGCTGGGCTGTGCCCATGCCCACTGTTCTCAGGAAGGAAGCACAGCACAGGGCCACACAAAGGAAGCCTTTATTGGTGTGGGTCTGAAGAACAAGCTTCAAGGACAGGTCTGAAGAAGGGGCAGGTGCATATGGCTCCACCACTGCTCATGTCTGCCTTTCCTGCTCCCTTCCCGGGTGAGTTCCACTCCCCCACACTGGGGCTGAGGTGGGGGCTCCAGACTCAGACCTTTACAGTCAGGGGAAGGGCAGGGCTCCCCAGGCAGATTATATCCCAGGAAGGGCCTGAGTTAGGCTGCTGCAGGCCCACCACCTGGAGTGAGGGTGCATGTGTGAGTGGGAGGGAGTCAATGGACAGGGTTCTGATTGGCAGGAGAGGACTGGTGGGTCCTCAAGGTAGCACCCTGTAGTCCCCCGACTCGGACCTGAGTGTGAACCCGTAGGCCTGGCTAAGGCACAGTGGCCGACCTGCATCCCTGCTGCAGGGCAGAGGTCTGGGAGCCCTACCCTCTGGCGACCGGTGGTGAAAGCACCTCTATTTTTTCCGCCTGGGGGGCCGGGAACCATTGCCCGGGTTGGAGCTTGGGGCAGCTGGCTCGGAAGCTGCTCTGGAGTCCTTCTTGGAGGCTGGTCTTTGCTTCTCCCCTCTGGCCAGAGGTGAGGACTGGAAGGGCCCAGGGGCCAGCAACGCTTGTACCATTTTGATAGCTCCAACAGCCGCCAGGAGACTCCAGAGCAGTGTGGGAGGCTCCAGCGGAGACAGCTGCGTCCTCACCCAGTGCAAGGCCCGGGCCAGGACTCTGCTGGGGCTGTGTGCCCGAGGTGGGTTCTTGTCCTGTGGGACAGGATTGAGGAAGGACCACGGGTTTTTCCCCTGTGCCAAGGATTACCCTGCTACCTCCCTGAGCCTGGCTGACATCCTCTAACCTGAAGCCCGAACTGTTGGAGCAGCATCTCCAGCATTGGGTCCCCCAGGGACACAGAGGGAAAGAATTCCTCCACCCACTGCCGTCGCCACCACCGGCTGCAACAGAACTGGATATAAGTGCATGGCTGGATCCTAGGCCCCAGATCTCTCCCTAGTACCCTGGCCTTACCCTTGCTCTCCAGGCCGTGAGAACCAATACTTGTAGCGCTGGGCCCGGATGTAGGTAGGTGGCTGCTTGTGAAACGGGTAACTGGTGACGTGGCTCTGGATCAGGCGGATTACTGCGGCAGGTGATGAGGCTCAGTATGGTCCTATCCCCCGGGCGGCCCTCCCCAGCCCCCTCTGGCCTACCCCTCACCTGGCTCCTTGCCCTGCAGCAGGCGGAGCACGAGGCTGGTGAACCAGGGACTGTGTGTGTGGGGGCCAAGGGCTGCAAACCACATCTGCCAGTCAAGGCGTGGCTGGTGGGGCACCAGGACAGGGGGCTGTCGGCTCACATTCCCAGGCTTATACATGAACTCGATCTCCTGCCAGATGAATTCATGCTCAGCTAGGGCAGGGAGGCCGAGCCCTTGCGCCTCACCCCTTGGGAGGACTCACTGTCCAGTGGTGCCCGTCGAAGCTGCCTTCCAGCACCACCTCAGGCCGCCCACCCAGCCCAGTCATCCGGCGGAAGAGGCCGTATGAATTGGCCAGCTGCAAGTGCTCCACAGCACCAAACAGGTGGTGGGCCCCGGTCCAGAGATGTCCGTGGGTCCCAGGCTCCACATAGGAGTAGGGTACCTGCAGGACAGGTGGGCAGAGGATTAGTGCTGTCTCCCAGACCCCTTCCCAGACCCCATTTCCTGCACTGCTACCTACCAGGCTGATCAAGAACAAGGCAACTGTGGCAGCGCCCACCACAGAGAGCTGGACCCCCGCACAGAGCTTCCGCAGCCACCCCTGTACCTGGGTCCACCTGGGAAAGAGATGCTGAGCGTGAGGTCTGCCCTGGTCTGGAAGCTGCCCCCCCACGCTTGAGCACACACCTCCAGAAGGTCATCAGCAGCTCCCAAGCCAGGGAGACCACCCCCAGCCACATGGTGGGCAAGGTCACTGTCTTCAGCCACTGGGAGAACTGGTGAAAGGTGAAGGCTGCGGAGGACGGGGATGTAAGGCCATTGGTCCAGCCCTGCCCTTGGGCTCCCCCCAGTGGGCACTCACTGGTTCTGGAGTGGATGGTGCGCTGCTGCCAGTCAACTTCCAGGCCAAAATAGTGTACAGTGCCATAGGCCAGCAGCCCATAGATGGCTAGTTCCAGTAGCAGGGACAGTGTGGCCAAGAGGGCCTTGGGCCAGGCTATAGATAGTGTAGGACAATCACAGGTTGACTGAGGGTCCACAGCCAGGATGCCAGGATGAAGCTTGGTACCTTCAGGGGCTTTTGGTAGGAAGGAGATAGCCTGAGAAGGTAGGGAGCTGGGACAGCAGCAGTCTTGATGGGCTAGTACTTACAGGTAGGCGTCCTCTTATGGCGGCTACAGCCAGGCTCAGCAGATAGGTGATGATCATCTAGGAGGGCAGTGGTGAGCACCAGCGTTAGCAGGTTGAAGAAGTTATAGTTGCCAGTGATGATAATCAAGACTTGCAGAAGCACCTAGGGTGAGGGTGGGTCTGCAGTCACAACTTGGAAGAGTCGTATCCATTCCGTGCTCCCCTGTTCCCCCCACTGCGGCCCCAACATCTGCAGTGTGGCTGCAGCCCCACTGTGGGACACACTCCAGTAACACATCACTGTGCCTGCCAGGCTTCTGACCCCAGCCACCAGTTCTCCAGGGCGACTCTGTCTCCAGCGGGACCCCACTGAACAGCGGTGAAAACTACATCCTTACCTGAGCATAGAAGGCAACCAAACGCAGGCGGCGAATGGGGGCAAAGAACAGAGGGGGCACTGCAATCTCGATGAGGAAGGTGGCGACCACGCTGAGCTTGTGCAGCCAGACTGGCAGGTGGTGGGCGAACCAGGCAGCAGGTGTGGGCAGGCACTGTGTCTCATAGTGGTAGGTGAGGGCTATGAGCAATGAGTGGTGGTCAACGCTAGGCAGAGTCAAGACCACCCCAGATTCTGAGCTAGACGCTCACCAGTGAGCCCCCACCACGTGGGGCAGCGGCCGGTCAGCCTGACCACCCCGGATTCTGACTGGGACGCTCACCAGTGAGCCCCCACCATGCAGGGCAGTGGCTGGTCAGCCTGACCACCCTGGATTCTGAGCTAGACGCTCACCAGGGAGCCCCCACCATGTGGGGCAGCGGCCGGTCAGCCTGATCACCCTGGATTCTGACCTAGACGCTCACCAGTGAGCCCCCACCATGCGGGGCAGTGGCCGGTCAGCCTGACCACCCCGGATTCTGAGCTAGACGCTCACCAGTGAGCCCCCACCACGTGGGGCAGCGGCTGGTCAGCTTGACCACCCCAGAGGCGAACATGAGGCGGAACAGGAGCCAGCGCACGAGCCAGAAGGGGAGGCCTTCGTGGGGTGAGGCCCTGCCCTGCTTGTGACGGGGCGGCGGCGTCAGTGGTGCCACCAGCACAGCCAGGAAGCCAGTCTCCAGCAGCAAGGAATCCCTATGGGGAGAGGAAATAGGACAAAGGGTCCTCCCTACCAAGGGTGCTCCCCTCAGGTCTTCCCAGGAGAAGCAAACACCCTGCCCAGCCTCAGTAACCCTGGCTCAGGAGTCACTCACCACTGGAAATAGAGGAATACCTGGCCCACCTGCGGGAAGAACGGCTGTCAGGGAGCTGGTGTGTGCCCGGGATGGGGGCCCCGGAGGGACCCGGGTCCTACTTGCCTGGCAGGCTGACAGGTAGGCAGCCCAGAGCAGCAGGTAGACCAGGGGGTGGCGCAGAGGGCGTAGCAGTAGGACACTCAGGGCCAGCACCGTGCCCGTCAGGGTCAGCAGCTCCAGGCCCTGGGCTGTGTCCAGCCCCAGCCTCGGTGCCTCCCACAGCAGCGTTGGCGTCTCCCACAGCTGCTGCCAGCGCCCCTTACCCTGCGGCCTCAGCGTCCTCCGCGCGGGGAGGATGCCATCGGGGCCGTAGAGGCCTGTGGGAAGGTGTGTCAGGGACGGGCCCGGGTCAGCCCTCCGCCCCCCCGCGAAGCCTGCAGTCACCGCGGACTTCTTGACAAGCACACGGGGTCCCAGAGGCCCCCCGCCTCTCCTTCCCCTACCTGCCCACCAGGTCTGGGGGGAAGTCCGGCTCCCGCTCCCCGCCCGCGTGGGAGCCCAGCCCCGCGGGACGGACCACCGCACGTTCCCTGCTGCTACACCCGTGAGGCCCACGCGTCGAGGCCGGGCCTCCCGCCCTCCCCACACCGCGCGGGCGCAGGGTGGAGGGGCGAGGCCACGCCGGGGCTCGTGTGCGGGCTGGGCGCTGCCCCACGCCGGCGCCCTCACCCGGGATCTGCGTGTAGAGGGAAGCGAAGGCGAACATGAACACCGCGGCCACACCCTGGAGGAAAAGCTGCCGCGGGAGCCGGGAGCCAGCCATGTCCGCTACGAAGCCGGATGGACCAGGGCCGGGAGCGCCCGCCACCACGCCCCGCCCCCTGCATTCCACCCGAGCGGCGGGCCTGCCCCGCCCACAACTGTAGCCGGGCCGTAGGCCCCGCCCCGCGGCGTGGCCCCGCCCCTCCTGTCCCCGCCCAGACCCAGCTAGCCCCGCCCTCCTACCGCCCCTGCACTCTATACCATCCCATAGCCGAATCCCCGCCCCTCCCCGGGAGGCCCCGCCCCTCCCCCGGCGGCCCCGCCCCTCCCCCGGCGGCCCCGCACTGCGGCCGGCGGCCGCCGGGCGGCGTGGGTGTTCGCGCCTCGCGGCCTCAGTCCGCCTTACGCTCGAGCTGCGCGCGGCGCCCTGCGCACGCACTTCCTGGGCGGGAACGGCAAAATGGCGCCAGAACTAGAGTCGCGCTGAGCCCGCGGCCCGCTCGGAAGTTGGCCCCGCTGCCCCGGGCGGCGCGCCCGCGGCCATGGAGGACGCGGAGGCGCGCTTCGCCCACCTCCTGCAGCCCATTCGTGACCTCACCAAGAACTGGGAGGTGGACGTGGCGGCCCAGCTGGGCGAGTATCTGGAGGAGGTAAGGGCGGCGCGGGGCGCCGGGGCCGGGGCGGCGCGGGCGCCCGGGCCGCCCACATCGGCTCTCGGCCGGGCTCGGCCTCTGGAGCCGGTCCTCCGCCTAGCCTGCCTCTGTCTGCGCCTCCGCCGTCAGGCGTGGCCCTGGCGCTCCCGGCCGGGGCTGGTGTCCACCGCCGCGGCAGGCCGCCCGCCCTGCGTGCTCTTAGCCTGTCATCCTCAGATCGCCGCCGCCTCCCCTCCCCTCCCCCTCCTCCCCCTCCCCTCCACTTTTTTTCCCCTCTACCACTCGAGCCTCAGTGCCACTTCCGGTTCTCTGGTTAGTTAATTGGAGATGGGTCTCACAGACTTTGCTGCCCGGGCTGGCTTTGAACCGCTATCCTCAGATCTCAACCTCCTGACTAGGATGACAGGCGTGAGCTACTGACCTACGGCTCTCTTTCTTTTAAACCTGTGGCGTCCCAAGCTTATCAAGCTCATTCTTGGCTGGCTCGGGGATTTTTTTTCCTTTATGTACTGGTAATAGAGCTCGAACTCAGGGCTTCACACTCTCCTGGGCTTTTTCACCCAACTGCTTGGCGCTATTCCACATGAGCCACACCTCAGGTGCAGCCTGCCGTCTAGTTTGTCTATGCCCCTCATTTGCTTTCTACACATTTGCCAGAATTCATTTCACCGCTCATTTACTCATTATTGTTGAATATTAGTTTTGTGCCAAAAGTCTATGTCAGGGCTGGGAAGGTGGCTCAGTGGTAGAGCGCTTGCCTTACATGCATGAGGCCCTGGGTTCAATTTCTTAGCACCACATATGCAAAAAAAAAAAAGCTGGAAGTGGCACTGTGGCTCAAGTGGTAGAGCGCTAGCCGTGAGGTGAAGAGTTGAGGGACAGTGCTCAGGCCCAGAGTTCAGGCCCCAGGACTGTACCCCCCCCCCAAAAAAAAAAAAAAAGTATGTCAACCTCTGAAGGAAATTAACATAGTAAACAGTAATCCATGCTTTGATAGGATTTGCACTTGTGGGAAGATCGGTTCTAAGGCAGTATGGCTACATAGAGTTGTATGTGTCATATGTTTGGTGCTTATTTTGGCCATTGTTTTGTGTGTGTGTGTGTGTATTTTGTGTTATGAATTAATGTAATTTAGAAAAATAATTTGTAGATACCAGAAAGATAATTGATATTCTTAAAGTCCTATCTGCTTTCTGTCACTGTGTTTGCCATTGGTGATAGGGCTGGGAATGTGCCTCAGTGGTAGAGTGCTTGCCTAACATGCATGCAGCCCTGGGTTTGATAGCTCAGTACCGCACACACAGAAAAAGCCAGAAGTGGTGCTGTGGCTAAGTGGTAAATGCTAGCCTTGAGCAAAAGAAGCTCAGGGGCAGTGTCCAGGTCCTGAGTTCAAGCCCCAGGACTTGCAGAAGAGAAGGACCTCCTGCACATTCCCTTCTCTTAGTCCTGGTCCTCTGGAGCCTTGCTCTTCTGTAGACTGCAGTGCTCCTGTCCCCTCTTGTCACTTGCCCCTCGGATCTGCAGAACCCCTCTGCTCTTCATGAGTGAGGGGAAGCAGCGCTCCCTGGTGGCCTCCTCCCCGACGGTTCCCTGACTGGGACTATCACAGTGCCCAGTATCTTCTCCCCCACACTTCAGCCACATTGGTGTAATGCTCATTTTCCTAAATAGTGTTATTGTCTCTGCTGACTGCCTTTTCATGGGGGATTTCTCTTCCCAGAATGCCTTTTTTTTTTTACTTGCCTAGGGAGTTACCCATTTTTTAAGCTTAGCTCTGATATCACCCTTCATCAGATATTTATCTGACACTAGCGTCTCACACTGAACTATAGGCTGGAATTACCTTCGTGCATCTCACAGGCCCCTAAGGAAGCAGAGGCTCGGAAGTAGTGCAACTAGAACACACTCATGGGGCAACAAAGAGGTCCAGGTGCTGAGGGAGAGCCTGCGGGTTTGCACTGGAGACAGGGTGGGGGCATCACAGGCAGAGGGAAAAGCAGAGCCACAGCGCTCAGAAAAACGTGTGGGGCTTCAAAGTACTGCTCCTGAGAGGAGGACAGAAGGGGGGTCCGGTCTTGGAGGAGATGGTGAGTTGTAAGAAGGAAAATGTTTGTGAGCTGGGAGTGTTACTTAGGGGTAAGAGTCTAGCATAGGACTGGGAAGGTGGCTCAGTGGTAGAGCGCTTGCCTTGCATGCAGGAGGCCCTGGGTTCTATTCCTCAGCGCAACATAAGCAGAAAAAGCTGGAAGTGTTGCTGTGGCTCCAGTGGTAGAGCACTAGCCTTGAGCTGAAGAGCTGAGGGACAGCCCCCAGGCCCAGAGTTCAGGCCCCACAAACGACAAAAAAAAAAAAAACGGCTAGCATATGTGAGGCCTTCGGTTCAATTTCCATTACCTTGAAAAACATTCTTTTTGAGATATGTGGAAATTCTTAGTGGGGAATTATAAATGCAGAGCCTTAGGGTTTATGAGTTGCTCAAACACACCAATATACAGGATGGACCCTGTAGAAGATACACCCTGAGAAGGAGCAGGCTGAGCATAGACTCCCAGGACCACGCTCTAAGGAGTGACATAGAACTGAGGCTCAGAGAGGCTCAAGGAAGATCCCTCAGGACTCTTTCCTGAGTTCTCCCCTCAAGGGTTTAGACCTCAGCATTTTTCTGCCTCCATTCTCTCGGGTTGGGTTCTTCCTGCTGGAGTTTGTCCCAGTTGGCCTCAAGCTGGGTGCAGTGGGAAACATCTTCAGCCAGGATCCTTGGGGGGACCTTCCTCCCCCAGTTCACTAGGTTTCAGAGGACTTAAGACATCACAAAGATCTGCCCCTCTCTGGAGACAACCCAGGCAGACTCCAGAGCAAAGCTGGAGTGGTCCGTGCAGCGCTACCCAGGAGGAGTTACGCACAGACCGTCTTTGGCTTCTCCTGCACCCGTGTTCTTTCTTGCAGCTGGACCAGATCTGCATTTCTTTTGATGAAGGCAAAACCACAATGAACTTCATTGAGGCTGCACTGCTTATCCAAGGTTCAGCCTGTGTCTACAGTAAAAAGGTGAGAGCCAGGGGCTGCAGATCTCAGTAGTTCAGGTCAGGGGTGACCATGGTCTGCTCTCCTATCGTATGTGCAATACTCATTCATATGACTTATCTTGACAGCATCGAAAGCTGTACCCCTGGTTTCCTTCACATCTCATAAAGCCAGTGGTAAACTTGGACTTAAAGTGATAGGGCTGTTGGGTGCCGGTGGCTCACGCCTGTCATCCCACCTGGGAGACTGATCTGAGGATTGTGATTTGAATCCAGCACAGGCAGCAAAGTCCACGAGACTCCTATCTACAATAAACTACTCCGAAAAAGCCACAAGTGGTGCTGTGGCTTAAGTGGTAGAGCACCAACCTTGAGCAAAAGAAGCTCAGGGACAGCACCTAGGCCCTGATTTCAAGCCCTAGCACTAGCAAAAACAAGTAAAATGTCCATGCCAAGTACCAATGGCTCACACTTAAAATCCCAGCTACTTACAAGGTTTAGGTCTGAGGATTGTGGTTCAAAGCCAGTCCCAACCAAGCTAGTCCTGGGGCTTGTACTCTGGGCCTGGGCATGTCCCTGAGCTTCTTTTGCTCAAGGCTAGCACTTTACCACTCGAGCCACAGCACCATTTCTGGCTTTTTCTGTATATGTGGTACTGAGGAATCGAACCCAGGGTTTCATGCATGCGAGGCAAGCACTCTACCACTGAGCCACATTTGTAGTCCTCCAAGAGAGTTATCTCCAGTTAATTGGCAGAAAAACAAATGGAGGAATGGCTCAAGTAAAAAGCATGAGTCACTAAGTTTTGTGTTTTGGTTCACAGAGAAAAAATATAACTAAAGTAGAAATGAGTTGGAGTACATAGCTCAAATGGTAAAGTGTCTGCAAGTGTTAGACCCTGAGTTCAGAATGCCAGTATGGGGGAGGGGGGGCGGGGAGGTGGGCACAGAACCTGAGGGAAAAAGGGTAAAATAGCGCAGCATTGGAGCTCAGTGGATACTGATGAAAATGAACTGTGTATTTGTGGGTGGGCATGGGAGGGAGGGACTGGGAGAGGGTGCAAGACACTGTGAAAGGAAATGTAGCTGGGCGCCGGTGGCTCACGCCTGTCATCCTAGCTACTGAGGAGGCTGAGATCTGAGCATCACGGTTCAAAGCCAGCCTGGGCAGGAAAGTCCGTGAAACTCTTATCTTCAGTAAACCACCAGAAAACCAGAAGTGGTGCTGTGGCTCAAGTGGTAGAGCGCTCGCCTTGAGCTGAAGAGCACAAGGACAGCGCCTAAGCCTAGAGTTCAAGCCCCATGACTGACAAAAGAAAAAAAAAAGGAAACGTACTCATTATCTGACTCATAATTGTAATCCCTCTGTACATCACCTTTATAATAACAAAGAAAAGCAAACCTCCAGTACCGCTCATGCCTGTAATCCTAGCTATTCAGAAAGCTGATATGAGAAGATCAAGGTTGGAAGCCAGCTGGGGCTTCCAACCAAGAAGTCAGAAAAGGAACTGCCTCAAGTGGCAGGGAAGCTACTTGAACACAGCTCAGGGAGTGCCCAGGCCTTGAGTTCAGGCCCCAGGCCCAGCCCAAAAATAACAAATGCAGTACTGATTTAAAAAAAAATGCATTTTTTTTGGTGGCAAAATCATCAGAGTTGATGGAGGTTTGAAAGTCCTGCCAGACTTGGTCCTACCAGCTTCGCGTTGGGCAGGCCTCTCACCACGGGCTGCCCTGTGTCCTCACACCTGCCTCTGGTTGCCAGGTGGAGTACCTCTACTCGCTGGTCTACCAGGCTCTGGATTTCATCTCTGGGAAGAGGTGAGTGGGTCGGGAGTGAGCCTGCATCTTTGCAGCTGCTTCCCGCTTGGAGCGTGGGAGCGCCTGAAGCTCTCCTCCATGTCCAAGGATGCTTTTCTTTCTCAGGCAAGCCAAGCAGCTCTCCTCAGTACGGGAAGACAGGACCAACAGAGCTGCCAGCTTGGGGACCCCTCAAGAAGCAGACAATGAGGTCAGTTGGGATGTATGCCCTCCGCCGCGCATTTTCCGCCTGCTCAGCTTACATGAGTTCTTGCTGTCTCTTTTAGTTCCTGTCCCTTGATGACTTCCCTGACTGTCAGGCTAATGTGGATCTGAAGGATGGCCAGGTACCCAGTGTGAGTATCCTGGCATTCAGGGGGCTAGATCATTCCTTGGGGAGAGGAGGGTGCTGCTCTGTGGGTGTCTCTGCCCGGAGCTTGCCTAGTTCAACTCCCCACCCATATGCAGGAGCTGCTCATCATCCCGCTCCTGCCCATGGCCCTGCTTGCCCCTGACAAAGTGGAGAAAAATAACAGCCCCCTGTACAGGTATAGGCCCCAGCCCAGCGTGGGGAGGGGAGAGCCTGCCTGGGAGGGGCCTCCACAACAGCCGTGTCTGCCCCAGCCGTCAGGGTGAAGTCCTGGCCAGCCGGAAGGACTTCCGGATGAATACATGCACCCCCAACCCCAGAGGGGCATTCATGCTGGAGCCAGTGGGAATGTATCCTGTGGAGCCTGTGGATGTATGCCCCGTGCCAAGGAACCAGAAAGGTGAGGGGCTGGGTCTGGGGAGGGGCATCTGGCGGGAAAGAAGTAGATCTTTCTGTGGACTACTTTTGGGTACCTCGTGCCTGCTAGCTCTAGTCCTGGGACCTGCCTCTCCCCAGTCGCCCACTTCCCTCTGGAGAGTTAGCTGGAGTTCATCCCTCCTTGCTGAGTCACAGCTGCTCTTAGTACTGAGTTTTGACACTTTCTACTCTCCATGGCCCTGGAATTGGGCCCTGCTCTGCTTTGGCTTCCACTGGCCCCCTGGAGAGCTTTGTTGGCAGCCAGGTAGGAACCTTCTTGGAATATCTTTCCCAGATGCCAGGGGTACTGAAGATCAGCCAGTGGACGTCTCTGGGTATCTGAGTCCTGTGCCTGAACTTGGCTTGTCCCAGGAGCCAGGTGAGAGGATTCACTGGAGCCTTGCAGGGTTGAGGAGGGGCCCAGGAAGGTAGAGCCAGTGGACATGCTATAAGTGAGGCTGCTCTCAGTGTCCCTCTCCTGTCCTGCTGCTGTTTGCTGTGCAGCTTGTTTGGGGCAAGGCACAGTGGGAGCAAACACAGCTTTGGAACTGGGCCCCCATGTCCGGGCCCTGGCCCTCCTGAGCCTCAGGAGCTGCCCTCTGGCCTCCTCTGGTGGAAATCAGTGGCAACATAGAAAGAACATTTGGGTTGCATGTGGCTCAAGTGGTGGACTACTTGCCTAGTAAGTCTGAGGGCCTGACTTAAACCCTGGTTTAGAAAAAAAAAAAAAGTAAGAAAAGAACATTTGCTAAGAAATAAGATGAATTAAGGGGCTGGGAAGGTGGCTCAGTGGTAGAGTACTTGCCTTGCATGCATGCATGAGGCCCTGGGTTCAATTCCTCAGCACCACATAAGGAGAAAAATCTGGAAGTGGCGCTATGGCTCAATGGTAGAGCGCTAGCCTACCATTGAAGAGCTGAGGGACAGCGCCCAGGCCCAGAGTTCAGGCCTCATGACCGACAAATAGAAAAAGAAAAAAAAGAAATAAGATGAATTAAACAAAGCATGCTGGTGTGAGGAAGCAAGTGGAGTCTGAGGCGCCAGTAGATCTCCACACACCACCAAGTGAAGCTTCCAAGAGGGCTGGCCTGCCAGGTTCCCGGGCCGGGGTGGACTCCACCTCCCGGACTAGCCTCCGTCTCTCGTCTGGTCCCAGCTCCTCAAGCTTACTGCTCTTTTGGTTCCTGCCCAGCCGCCTTTCCAGAGGGCCCGCCACCCAGCAGCGGGGATGAGGACACAGAGGATGCCGTGGAGCTCCCAGAGGCCGCAGCCCCCACGGCTGCTCTGGAGCCTGCTGACCCAAGGACCCTGCAGCAGGTGGGACGCAGGGGCCTCAACCCAGGCTGTCAGCCGAGAAGCCCTGCCCTGGACAGAGCTGCCCACCGTGCTGTGCACGTTGGCCTCTGGTCTTTTTACATCGGGCCGTGTGTTCTTCAGGTGCTTGGCTGCCCTCCAGCCAGCCAGTCCTTCGGTGTCCCCTGCTTCTAGTGTCCCCTCTGCGCTGAGCAGCTGCTGCTCCTCAGAGGAGTGGGTTCGTGGTTAGGGGTCTGAGCTCTATGGGGTTTGATGTTCCTGGGTTGCCAGCTTTTCTTCAAGGCTCACTCCTGTCTGAATAGGCTGTCAGGAGAAGTCTGTACTGCTTTTCTTCATGCCCAAAGGTAGAGTCTATGTAGTGTACCACTAAGAGATTCTTAGCTTTTTCAAAAGAAAACTCTGGGCTGAGGGCATAGCTTAGTGGTAACATGGTTACTTAGTGGGAGAGAGGCCCTGGGTTTAACCCCAGAGCTGCCCACACCAGACAGACTTGAGATCCTAAAAACCAACCCAGTACATAAAGGGTAAAATGCTACCATTTATTCTGGACCAATGTTTCTCATGCTCTGTCCCATTTTTTGTATTTTAAAATAAGTTCTTTATGGTGGGTATAAATTACATAGGTCAGGTAAAAAGTACATTTCTGCCAAGTGCTGGTGGCTCACGCCTATAATCCTAGCTACTCAAGAGGCTAAGATCTAAGGAATACAGTTCAAAGCCAACCCCAGGCAGGAAAGTCCATGAGACTCTTCAATTAAACACCAGAAAACCGGAAATTGAGCTACAGCTCAAGTGGTAGCGTGCTAGCCTTGTGCTGAAGAGCTCAGGGACAGTGCCCAGGCCCAAAGTTCAAGCCCCATGACCAACAACAACAACAAAAAGTATATTTCCTAGCTGGGCTTTGGTGGCTCATGCCTGTAATTCTCAGGAGGCTGAGATCTGAGGATCACCGTTCAAAGCCACCCGGGCAGAAAAGTCCCTGTGAGACTCATCTCCAATTAACTGCTCAAAAACCAGAAGTGGTGCTGTGTCTCCTTGAGCAAAAACATCTCAGGGACAGTACCCAGGCCTGAGTTCAAGCTGACAAAAAAAAAAAAAAAAATGAATTTCCCTTTAGACAGTGCCATCCCTTTCCTTGTTCTTTCTCAGTTTTGCCCTCCTATTCCTACCCTTCCAGGGTTTTTGACATGGGTCAAAGTGCAGGGATGCTGGGCTACTCAGGGACTAGGTGGACAGAGGCAGGAGAGGGACCTGTGGGCTATTCCCTTGTAGACTGCCACCAGGCCTAGGACCTGTATGCTGCGGGATCAAGGAAGGCCCCCAGACCCCGTGTCCCGGCTGAAGGTGAGAGTGCTCTCGAGCCCTTGAACTTGCACCTGTCATGGCTTTGCTCCTGCCAGACTTTAATACCTAGGTGTCCCATGCTTAGCCTGTGTCCCTTGACATACTTTCTCAAGGATTCTTATTCCTTAACTTCCAGAAACTAGAGGACCCTCCCTGCAGCTCCGTGCTACCTCTTCCTCTGGTGCCACCCTCTGACCTTGGGTTAAGTGTGGCCAGCAGCTCCCTGGGCTCTCACTGCACTGGGTATCTGCCTTAAGGAGTGGTTGTACATGTGCGCGCAGCCCTTCTCTCCCCTCAGGATCTGCTTATGCTCTGTACTTAGGAGACCCCAGATCCCTGGCAGAGCCTGGACCCCTTTGATTCCCTGGACTCTAAGCCCTTCAAGAAAGGTAACTACTGGGGGGGCTCTGCTGCTTAAGTTTCCTGGGATCGGAGGGAGTAGAGTGGGGTGGGCTGTATATCCTGACCCTGAGACGGTTTGTGGCTGTCCCCAGGTAGGCCCTATTCTGTGCCCCCTTGTGTAGAAGAGGCTCCAGGACAGAAGCGGAAGAGGAAGGGTGCCACCAAGCTTCAGGACTTCCATCAGTGGTACCTGGCTGCCTGTGAGTGGTGGTGCTAGGCAGAGGCGGTGCACCCTTTTCCTCCAGTGCTGTGAGTAGCCCCCGACCCCTGCGGGGTCAAGGCCTTGGCATGCTCTCTGCCTGACCCAGTTTCTTCACAGATGCTGACCATGCTGACAGCAGAAGGCGCAGGCGAAAGGGCCCAACCTTTGCAGGTAAGGGGCAGGGTTCCTGTGTACTTGCTAGGGAGTCTGTTCTCTACTTCCCCTGCCGGGGTTACCTGAGGTCCTTGGGTGGACTGGGCGGGATGAGGGAACTCCTCACAAGGCCTCTGTCTATAGACATGGAAGTCTTATACTGGAAGCATGTGAACAGTCAGCTGGAAACCCTCCGGAAGCTGCAGAGGAATGAGGCAAGTACCTTTGAGGCCAGAGTCTGGGCAGCAACCGGGCCCTGATGGAATGTGACAGTGTCCTCACAGAGGACACTCTTTCTGGACAGATGGCTGAGCGGTGGCTCCCCCGGGCTGAGGAGAGGTTGTGGCCTGCAGAAGGGGATGCCTTGGAGGAGTCCCTGGAGGACCTCGGTGTGGCAGGTGGGTAATGGGGGTGGGGGCACCTGAGCACCTGCAGCCAGCTGACTAGCTTCCTTGTCCTGTACCTGTAGATGACTTCCTAGAGCCTGAAGGGTATGCAGAGCCTGAAGGGGCAAAGCCTGGGGAAGCCGCCAACCTGGGTAGGTCTTAGCAGGTGGGGGGAGGGAGGGGGAGAAGGCAGGGGTGCTGAGGGAAGGGCTCTGTGTGGTGCCAGTTCAGAAGCTCAGCTTGCCCTTCCAGATGCAGAGGTCATGCCCAAATCCCCAAGCTACGAGGAACTGGTTCGAAAGAATGTGGTAGGCCTGGGTCAGAGAGGGTGGGATCTGTGAGAGAAACATGCTAAGCCTTCACGTGCAAAGTAGAGAGCCCAGTGACTCCCCTGCAGGAGCTCTTCATTGCCACCTCCCAGAAGTTTGTCCAGGAGACAGAGCTGAGCCAGCGCATCAGAGACTGGGAAGACACCATCCAGCCCCTGCTCCAGGAGCAGGTAGAGCGGGCACTCCTCAGGAATCGCACAGTGGCCTCTTGGGTTTGTCCAGGGCCCCAGCCTTTGCTAATAAGTCAGTGTCCCCTGTTCAGGAGCAGCATGTGCCCTTTGACATCCATACCTATGGGGACCAGGTGGTCTCACGATTTCCCCAGCTCAATGAATGGTGTCCCTTTGCGGAGCTGGTGGCCGGGCAGCCTGCCTTTGAGGTCTGTCGCTCCATGCTGGCCTCCTTGCAACTGGTGAGTGGCCCAGGACACGTGGGAGGGGTAGGCAGCCCTGGACTCTGCTGATGCTTTGCTCCCGCAGGCCAATGATTACACGGTGGAGATCTCCCAGAAGCCAGGCCTGGAAGAGGCCATGGATACCATGTCTCTGAGACTGCTCACACACCAGCGGGCCCACATGCGCTTCCAGACCTATGCAGCCCCTTCCATGGCCCAGCCTTGAACAGGAAGCACTGAGGCAGGGCAGAGGGAGGTGTGGGCTTGGAGTCCTGTCTCTGTACTGAGGGCCCCCCGCTCCAGTGCTGCCTCCTAGCCCACCCAGTCTAATAAAGTGGTGTTGCCACCTAACCTACCCTCCCCCAAACCTTTAGAAGTGCCTGCTCTGTGTAGAAAGAAGAGCTGACCTGCCCCTGCACCCCCTGCCTCCACGGGGTGCTGACAGATCACACAAGCACACCATTAATGTACCGATTTAATAGCAGCCCAGGCTTTGGTGGTTCAGGACAGGATGCTGTGGAAGGTACCCATGTGTTGCTTCACGCTGTCAGCAATCTGCTCGGTTGATCTGCCCCGACCATAGTAGTCAGTGAAGAGGCCATCGGGGTTGAGCAGGTAGATGGCAATGGAATGGTCCACGATGTAGTCCTGGTCTTCATCTTTGGGGCCAGCGCTGTAGTACACACGGTAGCTGCGGCTAACCTGGGCCACCTGTTCGGCAGAGCCAGTCAGGCCCAGCAGCCTCGGGTGGAAGTCCTGCACGTATCTGGCCATGGCTGCCACATCGTCCCGTTCCGGGTCCACGGAGATGAAGATGGGCTGCACCAGGGGCAGCCCAGGCTCTGCCTCCAGCCGCTGCACCACCCGCACGAGCTTCTCCAGTTCGTCGGGGCAGATGTCCGGGCAGTGGGTGAAGCCGAAGTACATGAGCACCCACTGGCCTCTGAAGTCGGCCTTGCACCGAGGCTGGCCTCTGTGGTCCAGCAGGCTGAAGTCGCCCTGGCCCACAGCAGCCTGGCGCAGGGCCTCGGTCCGCTGCTGCCGCCGCCGCTGCTCCTTCTCTGTCTTGGCAGCCAGCCAGGCCCCGCCCAGCCCAGCCCCAAACAGAGCAGTGACCAGCAGCCTGGTGTGCAGCCGCGGGCCTCGGGGGGAGCCCTGCCCTGACGAGGCTCTGGACCGCGTGCCCGGGGCCTCGCCCCCCAAGGTCCTAGGGGGAGCCCGGGGTCTGAGCGGCCAGAGCCGGGGCCAAATCTTGGAACCCTGAGCCAGCAGCAACATGGACGTGATGTTCCTGGAGAGGAGGAGAGACATCAACGGAGGTCCCGCGGCGGAGGCGGCGCCAGGCTGGCGCGGGCCCGCACCCTGTGGAGCCGCGACAGCGGGCCCGCCACCCCCGGCCCTTCCCGGCCTCCCCGGGGCGCCGCGGCCCTGCGGCCCGCGTCCCGCGGCGGCGGCGTCCGGCACGCACGGGGCTCCCGGGGCCCGGCCGTCCTCGGGTCGGCTCCCGTCCACACTGACCCCGGGGTCCGCACCTCGTGCCGGGCGCCAGAGCTGCGCGCTCCGCTCGGCTCCGCGCGTCGTCACACGCACGCGGCAGCCTAGCGCGTCACTTCCGGCACGCCCCGGAAACGCCTTCCCGCGGCGCGAGCGCCCCGCCCCCAGGGGCCCCGCCTTGCCTGGGCGGCTTCCGGCGCAGGGCCGGGCGGCAAGATGAGCTCGGCGAGGGGCGAGGGCGCCGCGAAGGGCGCGCGGTCGGACAGCACCAGCGCCCCCTGCAGGGCGCGGCGCTGCGAGCCGCTGAGCGCGGCGCCGTCTCGATGCACCCGGAGCCAGGGCGTCCCTGCGGGGCGGGGCACGGCGGCCGTCAGGGCGGGGGCGGGTCGGGGCCCGGGCCGGGCGCGGGGCGGGGGCCGGGGGCCGGGGGCCGGGGGCCGGGCGGGGCGCGGGGCGGGGGCCGGGCGCGGGGCGCGGCGGGGCGGGGGCCGGGGGCGGGGCCGGGGCGTTGGTCCCCCCGCGGCGCTCACCGCGGCGCAGCCTCTGGCCCACGGCCACCAGCAGCTCGGCGCCCACTCCGAGCCGGAGCGGCTCCCCGGCGCGGCTGCGCCCGGCCCCCAGCTCGTGCAGCACCAGCGCCAGCGGCAGCGCCCGGATGCGCTCCACCGTACCTGCGGGAGAGGCGGGCTAGGGGCGGCGGAGGCAGGGCGGGGGGCAAGGCCGGGAACGGCGAGGGCCGCGGAGGGGGCGGGCGGGGCCCAGGCTCCCGGCCTCACCGTCCGCGGGCGCGCGCAGCTCCTCCTGGTCCCGGGCGCCCGGGAGCAGCTGGCGGCGCCGCGCGGGGCTCCCGGAGCACAGCGCCCGCGCCAGCGCCGGCTTCACGCCCTGCGCCGCCAGCATCTGCTGGAAACGGCCTCGCGCCGAGCCGTCGTCCAGCGCCGCGGCCACTCGAGCGGCGCCCCGGGCCTGGGCCTCCGCCTGCCCGCTGAGCCAGAGCAGGGCGCCGCCTGCGGGAGGGCGAGGCTCAGGTGCGCGGAGGCCGAGGGCGCCCCAGCCCCGAACCCCAGCCCGACCTCCCTCACCGAGCCCGGTGACCAGCTCCCGCAGATCCGGCGGCCCCGCACCATCCAAGCAAAGCAGCGCCTCCTCCACCTCCAAGGAGTGGCCGACGCTCCGGCCCAGGGGGCTGTCCATGGCGGTCAGGGCGGCGGCCACCCGGAGCCCCAGTGCCGCTCCGACGCCAACCTGCGGACCGACGGCTCAGCCTGCGGACCCGGGGCCTCACGTCCGCCAACCCCCCCCCCCCCCCATCAAGCAGGCGCTGGGCCAGACGGGGAGGGCTGGAGAGAGGCCCTGAGGCGTCCCCTGGTCCAGCAGTGCGGGGTAAAGGACGGAGGAACCGCCCGGGGGACTGCTAGATGAACCAAGGCAGGGACGCCAGGCAGGCCCAGCTGCAGGAGCTCACCAGCGTCCTTGCCAGCTCCCTGGCCTGCTCTTGATCTGGGAAGAGGGCGGCCTCACCAAACTTAACGTCCACGATCAGAGCAGACAGCCCCTCCACGACCTTCTTGCTGAGGATGGAGGCTGGTGGGGGGGCAGAGACATTATCGCAAGGGTGATACCCGGGTGAGGAGGGGTGGCCTTTGTGGTGGAGATGGCCGTGCCCAGAGGCAGGGGTACCCCCGGGTCAGTCGGTGACTGGACACCTGTGACGAGTGGAAGGCTGTCCACAGTGGCTGTCACGTCTCGGGCAGCATAGAGGACTCCATCGGCCGGAACCAGCTTCTCACTCTGACCCACAATGCAACAGCCTACTTGCTCCAGCAGCAGCTTCATCTGGCCAGAGATTTCCCAGTGACTTAAAAATGCCCCAAATCTATTACTGACCAGTGGATGATTTGGATCTGTACTCAATAACTCTGACCTCTGACCTGTCAGGAACCCTGATCAGTGTTATGTGGCCTGTTAATGATTAGCAGCCCACTGGTGATGTTGACCCAGTCCCTAATAATGATCTGATCACAGTTCTGTTGATTCTAGTTCGGACCCAAGTCTATCTACATCAGTGATCTTTGGATAGTCACTCTTCTCATTAGTCCAATAACCCATCAGCAGCCCCCAATGATTCTGGCCAGCACTTCCCTCTCCCTCTAGATCAATGACCAATCAGTGGCCCATCTGTACCTGCTCTGGGCTCTGGACGACATTGAACCCAGGAATAGACTCCAGTTTATCCAAAGTTCCCCCTGTGTGCCCTAGACCACGTCCGCTGATCATTGGCACCTAGTAGGCAGGAGTACTGAGTGCCCCCACATCCCCCCCCATCTCCCCCCTCCGCTTGGTTAGGACTTAAGCTGGAATTAAAAAGTATTTGTAGCCGGGTGCTGGTGGCTCACTCCAGTAATCCTAGCTACTCGGGAGGCTGAGATCTGAGGATTGTGGTTCAAAGCCAGCCTGGGCAGAAAAGTCAGTGAGACTCCTATTTCCAATAAACCACTCGAAAACCGGAAGTGACACTGTGGGTCAAGTGGTAGAGCACTCGCCTTGAGCTGAAGAGCTGAGGGACAGTGCCAAGCCCAGAGTTCAAGCCCCATGACCAACCAAAAAAAAAAAAGTATTTGTAATATTTTACAATTTTAAGATTTTTTGGGGGGGGGTTGAGTTGTGGGACTTGAACTCAGGCTCTTTTGCTCAAGGCAAGCACTCTACCACTTGAGCAACAGCACCACTTGCGACTTTTGAGTGGTTAATTGGAGATGAGTCTCATGGGTTTCTGTCCAGACTGGCTTCAAACCATGAGCCTCAGATCTCAGCCTCCAAGGATTACAGGTGTGAGGCACCAGCGCCTGGTGAAGCCATTTTAAGCAATCAAAGTGGGGACCCAGCTGGTAGAAAGGTACAAGAAGGGAGCTAGCACTTGTCACTGACAACACAAATCTGGAGAGGACCCAATTCTTGGGAGCTTGTCTGGGATGCAGAAGGGCAAGGGAGGCCTGCGGTCGGTCCATCAGCAGAACCTGTCCTGTTACGAGGGGCCTCACCTAGGGCTGAAGTTTGTAGGGGTTTGGTAGGACTGGGTCCTGTCCTGCTGCGCTCTGAGCCAGAGGAGGTTCGGGGCCACCTGTGAGCAGCTCAGGGCTTCTGGAGAAATGGTGGGCTCACCTTGCAGCCACAAGCAGCCAGGGCCGGAGCCAGGACTAGGCTGACCTTGTCGCCCACGCCTCCTGTGGAATGTTTGTCCACAAGATGCGGGTGCCAGGCCTCTGGCCACTCCAGCTTCTGGCCAGACCTGGCCAGAGCCTGGGTCAGCACAGCGGTCTCCTCCGGATCCATGCCTCGCAGCCGGATGGCCATCAGCATGGCCCCTAATGGACACATTAGAGGGTTGTCCAGTAGCACAGGCGGCCGGACCTGAACGCTCATGGCGGAGTGCCCTGAGGCAAGGGTCTTCAGGACGGTCCGGGTCGGAGTCTGGTTAGGAGCGCCCAGCCTCCCCACGCACTGATCTTTGCACCCTGCGCGCACCCATCCACCACCGCGCGTGTCCGTCCGCCACGGCGCGCACCCATCCACCCGTGCGCACCCGTCCATCCCGCGATGCTGTCCGCCACCTCCGGCGCGCACCCGTCTGCCATGCGTGCGCTGTCAGCTACCACACGCACCGATCTGCGCGCCCTGCGCGCTCCCGTCCACCACCGCGCGCACAAAGCCCCTGATGTCCGCCTCACTCAGGTGGCCTCCGTCCCGCTTCTTGCGGATCAGCTCCGGCAGCTGCCTGGACGGTGGCAGGGGCTCCGGAGGCTGCAGGCCCCTCGGCCCAGAGAGGTTACCAGGCACCACGGGGATGGCAGGTGGAGACGCCATGGCTGCGCCTGCGGAGGAGCCGCACACACCTGGCATCCGCCTCAGAACCGAGCCGGGCCTCCGCGCGCGTCGGCGCCCTGCTCCCACGCGGGTCTGCCTAGCCCGGGGCCGGCCGGCATCCTCGCCCCCCCATACCTGTTAGCTTCAGCCCTGCCGCCTTCGGCCGCGGATTCTGGTCCGGCTCTGTCCCGTGCTACGGGGTGGAGACGACCCGGGCAGCACGGGCCGGTGGGGGGAGCCCTGCCGGGTCCCGTGGGTGTCGCCAGCCCTCGACGGACCGCGCGAGCGCAGGGCCACCGGAGCTCCTCCGCCCGGTCGGTCCCCGCGCGGACTAGCGTTTGCGGACCTGCGGGGCCCGCGTGCCCAGGACGCGCACGCACGTACCGCCGACGCCTCCGGGGCGGTGGACAAGCAACTTCGTCCAGGTCCGGTCCAGTCCGCCGGTCCGCTGGCCCGCCCTCCCGCCCCGGCCCGCCCTCCCGCCCCGGCCCGCCCTCCCGCCCCGGCCCGCCCTCCAGGCCCGAACCCCGCCCTCCCGCCCCGGCCCCGGCCCGCGCCCCGCCCTCCAGGCCCGAGCCCCGCCTCCCGCCCCGCCCGGCCTCGCGCGGAAGGAAGGAGGCGGACGCTGTCGGCTCCGAAGCTTTAAGCAAACGACTGTGGGGCCTCCCCGGCTCCCCCGCCCGCCCCGCGGGTTTTCAGTCCACGTCGGTCACCAAAGGGGCCAGGTACTCCGAGTGCCGAATCCCAAAGCTCCAGCCGTGAGTCCTCCGGTGCTGCGGACCGGGAGACGCGGGTCATCTCGGAGGGACCTGGCCTCTGACCCCGCCCGGCCTCCCGGGCCCGCCCGGTCCCCACCTCCGACTCCAGACCCCGCCCGGTCCCCACCTCCGACTCCAGACCTCGCCCGGTCCCCACCTCCGACTCCAGACCTCGCCCGGTCCCCACCTCCGACTCCAGACTCCGTCCCCCCGGTCCCCCCTCTTCTCCGCTACCTGGTCCACGTTGTAGGCGGCGGGCCCCGGCTTCATGGTGCTGTCCTGGGGCAGCGAGGTGCGCGCCAGCATGGTGAACTGGGGAGCGCGGGCCTTGTAGACGGCGGGGCTCACCACGTGGTAGGCGCACGGGCCCGGGGTCTACGGGCGAACGAGGGGCGGTCCAGCCTCCGCTCCGCCGCCCTCCGGCCCGCGCCCCCGGCGCCCGCCCCACCTTGCTGAGGTCCTCGAAGCAGCTGCCCACCGCGCTGCGGCCGTACAGGGAATAGGTGGGCGCCGACGTCTTGCCGACGACGCGCGCGCCCAGCAGCGGCGGCACGCTGTAGGTCCCGGGGCCTGCGGAGGAGCCGGCGCACGCTCGGTCCCGCGACCGGGCCGGGCGCCCGCCTCGGGGCCCCCGCGGGGCGGGCCGGGACCCCCGCTCTCACCTGGGGTCTGCTGCTTCGTGTGGGCGCCCCAGTTCCGGGAAGCGATGGTGTGCCGTGGTGCGCTGGGGTACGCCGCGTTTCCCGCTCGTTCGGGGAAGTACCTGCCTGGAGGAGGGACCAAGGCGGGGGGAGAGGGCTGGGGGGAGAGCAGGGCTGGGGGGCCCAGCTAGCCCTGGACCTGGAGTGGGAAGGGGGGCAGGGCTGGGGGAGGGCAGGGCTGGGGGGGCGCAGCTAGCCCAGGACCTGGAGTGGGAAGGGGGGCAGGGCTGTGGGAGGGCAGGGCTGGGGGGCGCAGCTAGCCCAGGACCTGGAGTGGGAAGGGGGGCAGGGCTGGGGGGGGGGCGCAGCTAACCCAGGACCTGGAGTGGGAAGGGGGGCAGGGCTGGGGGGGCGCAGCTAACCCTGGACCTGGAGTGGGGGGACAGAGCTGGGGGGAGGGCAGGGCTGGGGGGGGCTCAGCCTGGGCGGGTCGCGGGACTCGGGTCCCGGCCTTTAGACCCCGGCACGGGCATCCCAGGGCGCCGGGCCCCGTGCGTCCCCCGGGGCCTGCTTGGCCCTGGGTCAGGGCCCAGGTGCTGACCCGGTCCCGGAGTGCGGAAGGGCGCCGAGTGCCGCAGGCGGCCGTAGATGGAGTAGGCGGGGGTGCCGTCGGGCCCGCGCACGGTCATGCGCGACGGCACCAGGTGACTGGGGCCGGGGCTGCACGAGGTCGTCTGCGCCGGGAGGCGCGCGCCGAAGGTGAAGGCGGGCGCGCGCCGGCGCGACGGGTCATGCAGGACGTAGCCTGCAGGGGATCCCCGCGTCAGGGCACTGGCCGCGCCCCCTCCCCCGTCCCCGCCGCGCCTCCTCCCCCGTCCCCGCCGCGCCCCTTCCTCAGGCCCCGCTGTACCGGTGTTGGGCGGCAGCTGGTACTTGGGCCCCGGGCCTCTGTAGAGCGCGGCGATGGGGCCTCGGGGCCGGTGTGGCCGCCACGGGCCCACCCAGGCGTCGGAGCCCATGGCGCGCTCGCGGCCCGTCCGCCTGGGCCCCACGGGGTCCGCGCCTCCCCGAGCGGCCGAGCGGAGGGGCGGGGCCCATCCGGTATCCCGGGAGCTGCGGAAACAAACAGCGGGTCCTGGGCTGCGGCCGCGCGGCGCGCCCGCCCGCCTCCTCCCGGGCCGCGGGGGGTCAGGGGGCCCCGCGGGGGCCGGCGGCGAGCGGCCTGGGGAGAGGCCGGGCGGGCGCGCGCCCTCGGAGGGAGGCGGGGGCTGCGCCGACCTGCGGTGCCGCTCCCCGGCTAGCCAGGCCCCGCCGCGCGCGCCCGGCGCCCCGGCCCCATTGTGCCTTGGTCTGCTGCCAGGCAACGGGAGCCGCCCCACGACTGGAGCCGCCCCGCACCCCGGAACCCGCAACCTGACCCGCCCGGGCCCCTGTGACCGGACCCGCACCCCGGAACCCGCGGGCCCGCCCCGCACCCCGCGACCTGTGACCCGTCCCGCACCCCGTTACCTGACCGGCGACCCAACCAGTACCCCGCGACTTGACCACGCCCCCCACCTGATCCGCGACCTGTGACCCAACCTGTACCCCATGACCTGACCCACCCCGCCTCCCGCGACCCTCGTCCCCCCCTCCCGTGACCCGACCAGACCCACCCCGGCCCTGGGACCGGGGGTCATCCCCACTCCCCGCGACACCACCCAAACCTGCCCCTCCCCCGTGGCATGCCAGCTCCCCGAGACCCTTCCCCCACAACCCGACCCGCGACTGCCCCCCCACCCTCGCGTACTTGCCTTGCATGCGTGAGGCCCTGGGTTCGATTCCTCAGCACCCCATAACCAGAAAAAGCCGGAAGTGGCAGTGTGGCTCAAGTGGTAGAGCTCCAGCCTTGAGCTGAAGAGCTGAGGGACAGCGCCCAGGCCCAGAGTTCAAACCCACAATCGACAACCAGAAAAGAAAATTACAAAGCCCTGCAAAGGTAGACCTTATTGACACCCTACCTGTAGGATGCAGCTAAAGCTGCGTTAAGAGGAAGAGTAAGCCCTGATGGAACGGGAAACAGCTCACCTTACAGAAAATGTACAACTACCGAGAGATGCGGCTCGGGATAGACTGCCTGCCCAGCAAGTCCCAGGCCTCCAGGTCCACAGAGACAGAGGGAGAGCTGCACCAGACCGCCTCATTCCCAGGTCGGCGAGGTCGCCACCAACCGTGGCTACACAGGAACTTGCAGGCCAGCTTGGTCAAAACAAAATAAAACAAACAAAAAAGTAGAAAGTGTGGTGCACACCTGTAATCCTAGCTACTCAGGAGGCTGAGATCTGAGGACTGTGGTTCAAAGCCAGCCCTAGTAGAAAGAATAAATAGCTATTTCAGAAAAAGAAGACAAACAATCCAGAGAACTTGATTAAGGAGAAAAAACAGTAAGTGGCTCAAGTGGTAGAGCGCTAGCCTTGAGCTGAGGAGCTCAGGGAGCCCCCAGGTCCAGAGTTCAAGCTCCACAACTGACAAAAATGAAAAGAAACTGAGATACCAATATAGAAGAGAGTGAAATAAAGAATTCTCAAAAACCTACAATTTGGCCAGGTGCTGGTGGCTCACTCCTGTAATCCTAGCTACTCAGCCTACTCAAGAGGCTGAGATCTGAGGATCACAGTTCAAAGCCAGCCCGGGCAAGAAAGTCCATGAGACTCTTATCTCCAATAAACCACCAGAAAACCGTAAATGGCATTGTGGCTCAAGTGGGAGAGTGCTAGCCTTGAGCAAAAGCTCAGTGACAGTGCCCAGGCCCTGAGTTCAAACCCCAGGACTGGCAAAAAAAAAAAGACTAATGAGGCCAAAGAAGATTGAATACTTCTAAAAGACTCTTGGTAACTATGAAAATGGAATGAGCATGCTGTTGGGGATGCTGTTTCTTAGAGGAAAGGATGCAGGGAGTGGGACGCAGGGTCAAGTTGATCACACACAGTATGATCATATTTGTGACAGTGGAATCTACCCCATAGCTGGTAGAAGACAATTGTTTTAAAAACAATTTCCATACACATTTGGAAAGAAATTTCACCAAAAAACTATGAAAAACAAATATATTTATTTTTTATTATATAGTTAAGTAGTACAAAGGTTTCAGTTCAGGGTGTCAATTTATGAGTACATCTTTATTAGTATCATCAACTTGACCAAAAACACCCATTCCTTCACTCTCCCCTCCCATAGAAAACCTTTTTTCTCGGTCATGGGGCTTGAATTCAGAACCTACATTCTATCCCTGAGCCTTTTTTGCTCAAGGCTAGTGCTCTAGGACTTTGAGCCACAGCTCCACTTCTGGTTTTCTTGTGGTTAATTGTAGATAAGAGTCTCACAGACTTTCCTGCCTGGGCTGACTTTGAACCTCAGTCCTCAGATCTCAGCCTCCAGAGTAGCTAGGATTACAGGTGTGAGACACCAGCGCCAGGCACAAATGTATTTTCTTAATGTATAGAATATAGCTACTCAGGAGGCTGAGCTCTGAGAATTGCAATTTGAAGCTATCCTGGGTAGGAAAACCGATGAGATTCCTATCTCCAGTTACCCAGCAAAAATCTGAAAATGGAGCTGTGATTCATGTGGTAGCATACTAGCATTGAACAAAAAAGCTCAAGGACAGAGCCCAGGGCCCTGAAGTCAAGCCCTAGGACTAACATACACACACAGACGTTTGGAAGATAGAAAAGGAAACACTGCTACCTGGAAGATTCAATATTCATCATTTTCTTTCTTATTTTTCTTTTTTTTGAGGGGTCCGGTCCTGGGGCCTGAACTCTGGGCTTGGGCGCTGTCCCTCAGATCTTCAGCTCAAGGCTAGCGCTCTACCACTTGAGCCACAGCACCACTTCCAGCTTTTTCTTTTTGCTTTTGTGGTGCTGAGGAATCGAACCCAGGGCCTCATGCATGCAAGGCAAGCGCTCTACCACTGAGCCACCTTCCCAGCCCCTCTTTCTTATTATTTTTCTTATGTTTATGTGGTGCTGAGAATCAAACCCAGAGCCTCATGCATGGGAGGCAAACACTACCACTGAGCCACCTTCCCAGCCCCCCATTTACTATTTTCTGTGCATGCTCTCCTGGCTATGGCTCTACCACTTGAGCCACAGTGCCACTTCCAACTTTTTCTGTTTATGTGGTGTTGAGGAATTGAGCCCAGGGCCTCAATCATGCTAGGCAAGCACTCTGCCACTAAGCCACATTCCCAGCCCCTTGGTTATCTTTCTCAGTAGCAATTCTGAACATTTCAGTAGATTCATGAAATTGGCCTGACTCATTTTCTCAAAAATAAGAAACAGTTAACTAGACAGCCTTCCCCAAACACTGCCCAGCTCACCTTTCTGTGCCATGTCTTCTTGGTTTTCCTTCCACTGCAGTGGTTGTGTCACCAGAGATGGGTTGACAAGATTTTCAATAAAGGGGAAATCTCAACTCATTATCTGTTTCCCATGGTTCTTGAGTAAGTTGTAGAAATAATTTCAAGACAACTCAGAGTAGAAGAGGAGCAAAGATTTTTTTTTTTTTTTATTAAGCTAGTAAAACAAAGCAGCAAGCAGTAAGGAAATACAAGCAGGTAGAGTGCCGGTGTCAGAGGTGTCTGTGGCTCTTCCATTGGGCTACTTATATTTGTTAAGGTAGGTTTCTCCAGATAAACAACACCTTTATGGTAAGCCCTAGTAACTTTTAACCATTTTGCTGTTGCAGTAGGGTTTGTTGTTGTTTGCCAGTCCTGGGCCTTGAACTCAGGGCTTGGGAGCTCCTTTTGCTCAAAGCTAGTGTTCTACCACTTGAGCCACAGCTCTATAGCTTTTTTTGTAGTTTATTGAAGAGTCTCACAGACTTTTCTGCCTGGGCTATCTTTGAACCTTGATCTTCAGAGCTCAGCTTCCTGATTAGCTAGGGTTACAGATGTGAGCCACCAGTGTCCAGTTGTTGTAATTTTTTTTTTTTTTTTGCCAGTCCTGGGGCTTGAACTCAGAGCACCTGGCTTATTTTGTATTACGAAGACTTTCTTAAAAAAAAAAAAAAAAGGGCTGGGAAGGTGGCTCAGTGGTAGAGCGCTTGCTTTGCATGCTCGAGGTCCTGGGTTCAATTCCTTAGCACCACATAAGCAAAAAGAAAAAAGCCGGAAGTGGCACTGTGGATCAAGTGGTAGAGCGCTAGCCTTGAGCTGAAGAGCTGAGGGACAGCACCCAGGCCCAGAGTTCAGGCCCCACGACTGGACCCCCCCCCCCAAAAAAAAAAAACAAGCCAGGCACTGGTGGCTCATGCTTATAATCCTAGCTACTCAGGAGGCTGAGATCTGAGGATCACTGTTCAAAGCCAGCATGGGCAGGAAAGTCTGTGAGACTCATATCCAATTAACCGCCAGAAAACTGGAAGTGGTGCTGTGGCTCTAGTGACAGAGTGCTTGCCTTGAGACAAAGAGCTGAGGGATGGGCTGGGAAGGTGGCTCAGTGATAGAGCGCTTGCCTTGCATGCCTGAGGCCCTGGGTTCGATTCCTCAGCAAAAAGAAAAAAGCTGGAAGTGGCACTGTGGCTCAAGTGGTAGAGCGCTAGCCTTGAGCTGAAGAGCTGAGGGACAGCGCCCAGGCCCAGAGTTCAAGCCCATGACCGATGACAAAAAAATAAATAAAAAGACCCAATAATAAGGAAATCTTGGGTCTTTCTACCTATTTCTGTGTATTAGTGGTGCATCCTTGAATTTGGTTCTCCAGCTGGCGCTATCAGAGGCCTGCTGTCTGGTGGGGTTGTCTGGAATTCTCCCCACTATGGGGTACCCTGTAGCCCTTCCTTGGTGGCAGGGACTGAGGAGTACTGTGGGGGGATGGTTAGCCCTGTCCTCTCAAGGTCTAAGGCCCCAAACTTGAGTTTCAAGAGGCACACAGCCTGGACCTGAGTCAGAGAATTAGGGCAAGAAAACGTGTGTAACTAAGAGTCCACCTTAAGGAAAGGGCCCATCCCACTCTCCCCGTTACCCAATCACCCTGGGGGG